GTTTTCCCATAAGAATGACACGATGTGTGCTTCTTGGGCCTCTCTTGGGCTGCCTCTCGGAGCGTCTTGGAGGCTTCTGGGACCTTCCTGGTGTCATGACAGGCGTCTTGGAAGGCATCTAGAGCCATCGGAGCGCGTTCCGAAGCCGCCTGCGAACGATCTTGGACGGCGCCCGGCGGTCCGACGAGCCTCTGGGCCCCCCGGGGCCCACATTTGCGGTCGGGGTCCCGGCCCCGGGCCCCCGGGCCCGGCGCGCCGTTGCATGTATAAGCGGCCAGCAGGCTGCCCAATACGCGCTTTGAACAGGGGGGCGCAAGGGGGCCCCGTCGACTCAGCGAAGCCCTCGAGCCCAAGTTCCAAGAGGGCGGCCTTGACAGCATCATATCGAGCCCTGGGGGGAGGCGCCCCCGCGCCGCCGGGCCCGCGCAGCCGAGGGGTAGAAGTGGGGGGCCGTAGGCCTACAACTTGCACTGGGTTGCTCGCGCTGCTGCGCACTCATTAGCGCTCGCAGAGCAGCGGCGCCGCGCGCAAGGAACGCCTCTCGGCGCCCCCTCCGCCGCCTCCAGATCATGGGCAAGCGGAGAGAGCTGCGACGCAGAATCGCCTAGCGCGCTTGGTCGCGTCGGCACTTTCGGGGCAGGGGCGGCTACGTGCCGCGCGGCTCTCGACAGAAATCCAGGGCGCGGTGGCAAACATTGAAAGACTCTTGAAGCTGAGCCGCCCAAACCTCGGGTAGCTCATGCTCGGCCGCCCCCAGCCTGGCGAAGGAATCAGCCCGCGCATTGCCAGCGCAGTCGACGACGCCTTGGCCCAGGCCCTCGGCCCCCCGATCGCTTGGCCCGCCAGGGCCTGCTCAGAGTCGCGGCGCGCTGGGGCCCGGCGGGGCGCGGGCCTCTCAGGCATGTCTTGATGCTGCTCCAAAACTCGCCCCCCATGGCGACGCGTGCTCGGCCGCGCCCGCGGCGCGACCTTGGTCCCAGGAGGCGCCCTCTTTTGCCGCGGACAAATGGTCAGACGCGACTTCGGGGTCCCACGGCCAAGCGCGCAACGCGCGGAGGATGGCCTGGCGTTCCGCCCTCGGAACCTTTCGGGCAGGCCCCGCAAGGGCCCCGTACTCAGCCCTCACGGGCCAGCCCCCAAGGGACAAGGAGACCGCGGACCAGCCGCATGCAACGCCCGTCCGCGTGCAAACGAACCCCCCAAGGCGCTCTTTCCGCACCCCAGGAAACAAGCGCCGTCTTGTCGGCCGCAGGCGGGATCTGGATGGGGAGAGAAGGCAACCCGTGCACCAGCTCGGGGGAGTCAAAATCGAGAGGGGTCCCATGCGCCTGCCCTGTCAGCCACTCACTGTGCTCAAAGCAATCATATACCGTCAACGGGCCTGCCTCAGGATCAACGTTCTTGAACCAGAACCCTCGCACTCGTAGAACTGGTGTCCCGGCGCGCCCTGTGGGTGGTTGCAGAAATCGCACCTGCTGCTATCGACGTAGCCATGCCGGAATCTGCGGGCCGCTGGCCACGTGGCCCCAGCCCGCAGCGCCCTACGACATGATCTTCTGACTCCCAGCAGCTTCTGAAGCCCGAGCGTAGGAGCCCTCGCCCAGACAACCTCGCGCCCGCGAGCCCCAGGAAGACTAGACGCTAGATGCGCGCCCCGAGCCCTGCTTATTCCAGCTCTCAAAAGAAGCCCGACATCGCGAGGTGATGTACGAAAATGCGAAATGACTCGTTGCTGACCAGACCTGACGCGGCGCGGGCCTATCAGCCCCCACCCCGCGCGCTGCAAAGACAGCGCGACGGCGCCCACAGGGCCCCTATCTCTGGACCAATGAGGGTTGACGCGCAAGGCCTGGGACGCCGCCTCCCACGCGCATCTGAGATCTGAGCTCACGGCCCGGCCTTCCCACGCCCAACAGCAATGTCCTGTCTGAAGACCTCCTGGAATGTTAGTGGCGCCCCTTCCAGGTGGCGCAATCGGCCGGACTGCTCCCTCGGTAACCTGGAACCTTCATCGTGGCCGTGATTCCCGCGCCTGTTCCTGGATTGCGAGCCATTGGGCGCGTTCGAGCCCGTCGCCTGATGGCGGAGGCCTGGGAAGCCTCAACGACGAGCCTTGCGGAGCTGCTGGGGAATTCAAACCGGCCAGGGGCACCGTCTGGAGACAGGCTGCGGAGGCCGAAAGCAGCACTCCGCGCGGCCCCCACCGGGGGGTCTTTTTAGGGGCATGCCGAAGAACTGCGAGCAGATTGCGCCGGTGTTGCTGAAGCAAAAGGGGCCGCAAACTAAACTTCGATCCCGTGGTGCTTGGCGTCTGCCTGCGCGACTGCCGATCGGCTAGGCACATGGTCTTGCGCGGGCTGCGGCGCCCGCGCCCCGCGCTGGGCTCAGAGCGGCGGCTGCGCGTTCGATGGCAACTACCTGAATGAGAACTCGAGGGGCTGAAACGTGCCATTCGGTTCCCGTGCTTCTGGCACGTCGCGTGACATTTACATTGGCGGCAACGGCAAGGGTATCACGTCGGAAAGCTCAGTCGATCATATTTCACATATGAGTTCCTCTGATGAGGCGCTCTGAAAGGCCATCAGGTAGATGATGAAAGTCCATGTCCTCGGAGATAAGGTCGTTTGTGTCCTCATTCCGAAGTTGCTCTTCCCGTGTCCAGGGCGAGTTCGGGGCCATGGCGGGGCCCATGAGAAAACGGCAGTCGACCTCGATGTTGCTTTCACTGCAGGCACTTCTCGAAGGGTCAAGGGTAGGAAAGCTAAAGGCGAAGGCCCGTCTGTCAGCTGTTACTCTCAGGACCCGCCACTCAGTCCGCCAAAGCCGCGCGCTGAGGAGTCGCGCTGCTAACGCGTTCATTGCTGGCACCCTGGCGGGGGTACAACGCGGCTAAGAGACTCCCAGTATGACGGATGCAGCCGTCCATCGGGTTCGGAGGCATGCTGCATCGACTATGCAGCCCTCCTGCGGAGACAGGGGTCGCAAGTTTAACGCGTATTGAGGATGACGCTGCATGTTTTGGAAGTGTGGCACCAACTCTCAGACATTGCAGGGAGTTGTGGTTGCTGCAGACCACAGCAACTCTGCGGTCTCTTTGCTGACCGCAAGTGTGCTCAGCTTGGGAGCGCACCTGGAGGCGACCCTAGTACGTGAAGATATGTAAAGGGCCCGCGAGGAGCCATGTCTGTATGCGTTGACTGGACTTTGTCACGGAGCAGGAGAGCGCGTGTGTTGCGATGTTGTTCACAGGACTCTCGCGTCTGAGTAGCTGACCGCGAAACAGAGATCACGGTTCGTGCAGTTACCTGTCAGCAGGCTTTCCTTCTCAGCAGATCTGTTTTCGGTGTGCGTGATCGACGGCAAGTGCCCGCTGTGTGCTCAAATCGACGACGCGGTGATTCAACGGTTTTGACCGTGATGCGAGGACGGCCGAGTCAGACTGCTGGGGCTTCCCCTTTTGACCGGAGTGAGGGAGGAGCTCGAGAACCCACCCCCTGGCTTGGAGTTGCTTTGCTCCACGGAACTGTTTGAACACCCCGCTCTGAGGATAGGCCAGCGCCTCCTTCACAAGAGCAAGCCCTCGATGCCGTTCGGTTTGGATCCTTTACTGAGGCGTTCGTCGAGAAAGGCCTCCCTCCGCCTTCCCCAAGGGTGAGGGAGCTCCAGTCCTGGATGAGGAGTTGTGCGGATGAGTGAGAGCGGCAAAGCTCTGGCTCGTATGGTTGGGCCTCGGGGAGCTTCGACCCTCAGACCAGCGTGGCCGCAGAGTTTGCTGACCCAGCGAGTGCGCATGCGTTGCTCACTGACCGCAACACTTCTCATTCTGACTGTCAGGTCTCATAGGCCCTACAACGGGCGTGTGATACAAACGTTTTCTGTTGCCCAGGGCCGCCTGGACCGCGTTTCCCAAGTCAAGAAGGCTCACCAGGAGGATGACGAGTCTGTGCCTCTGCCTGAGCGCCTGCACGTTCTAGGCAACACCGCTGCGGACACTGCGGCTGAGGAGAAGCCCTCATGCACATGCACCCCAGGTCATCGGATGCGCTCAATCTTGCCCTAAAGGTCGCCAAAGCGGTCACCTCTCGTGCAGCGGATTTGATGAAGAGATGGCCTCGCACTGATCTTGCGGGCGCCCGGCGCATCGATCCCCCCACACCCCCTGCACCGAGAGAAACGAGGCCACCACACTCTTGGAACTGGGTAGGCAAGTTTTGAACATGTAGCGAGTGTCTCAAGAGCTCGGGTTCCGAGCAGTGCCCTCTTCGAGTGAATAGTTCTAACAGGCTGCGGGTGGACCCGAAGCGCCTGCGTTAGCTTGGTCGTACGTGCATTGTGGCTGATTGCAACGATGGGAAATTCGTCTGCTTTTGCCAACTTTGTTTCGTTTACTCCTCTGGAGGGCAACTGAGGGGACTGGGTGACCCGTGCCCTCTCGGCTCTCTCTCCGAAGCGTCGGATCCAGACACTGATAAGAAGTGGTATGCGGGAAACGCTCGGAGACAGGATGTGTTATCCAGGCTCTGCAAATGCCTCCAGCCCAAGCTACCAGGGGTGAGTGTGGATCTGTGGCTGCGGATGTCAAACCAAGTTCCCCTCTTTCCCCTCTGCAGTGGTATCGGCATCGCTCCCCCCGCTGATTCCTAGGATGAGGGAGGGAACAAAGGCTGGTGGAAACTGGTCATTCTCCTCGAGGCTTCCCTGGGGGGCGGTTTTCAATTCCGTGGGCGGCACCCAGGACCCGGGGAATGCTTCGGGAGCCCGAATAGGTGCCCAGTCTCCTCCAGGACTCCCAAAACATCCAATGTAATAATTTGTGTTGTCATACGTGAGTCCAGAACGATCTCGACCTCTTAATTACCCAGGGGCACTGTTTTGTCCTACACCAGGTCTTGATGGAGCTTGGCGCGAAGCCGAACGACCCACAGAGGCTGGAAATACAATACTGCGGGATTGAAGCGGTCGATCCACCTGATGTCTGGGCCGCTTTCTTTGTACCGATCCTGGGGTACCCCTCCTCCATCGTGGCGCCGCGGTCCATGGCCACCACCGAGGTGTACGCGCCGTCGGTGCTGCCGGTGCCGACCGGCACGGTGCTCGGCGCCCCACCCGCGCCCGCGCCCGCGCCCTCCGAGGCGCCGTCCTCGTAAAGGGCCTCTCCGGTCGGGGCGGCGGCATAGGGCCAGCTCAGGAGGTGGAGGGGATCCTCCACTCCTCCGCATGCCGCGCGACAGGATCACAGGGACGCGCAGTAAGGATGCAAGGCCCTTGGACACCCACGTTTAAAGCTTTTTTCGAAGGTGGGGCTGGCCAGCAGAAGTGGCCAAAGGTGGGCCGACGAGGCAAAGATGCAAGAATACTCTTGGCAATCATGCGGTTTGGCTGTGCTCATCCTCCTCCTGCTCTTCCTCCACACCTGATGCCTATTCGCATATACTCCTTCTAGACAGCCTACTTGGCAAATAGCCCCCCATCCGGAACGCTCCCTCTTACCCATGAATATTCGCCTGGCGAAGGACCAAACCCTCTCGTCGTAAGCAGCGTGCGGCCAAACAGACTTTCGAAGACCTCTAAGAGGGCCCCAAAATAGGCAAAAACATGATTTCCTTGTCAGCTGTTTTTTTGTCTGGCGTCTGCTTTTGTCGGGCTCCCCACTGCCCACGACGGCCAAAGAGGCCCCAAAGATCGCCTCAAGACGGCCCGCGCGCCCCAATGAGGGCCCTAAGACGGCCCGAGAGGACTCCGAAGAGGGCCCCAAGAAGGGTTCAAGAGGGGGAGCCCGAGCTGACATGTCGAGCCATGCCCCCAAACATTAACCCCGAAACCGCCATCAGGCCACCCAAAAAGCCCTCAGGGGCCCCCTCAGGCCGCCAGGAGGCTTCACACATTCGACATACAAAGAAAACACACGGCCAACACGGCCCTGAAAGAGCTCAAGAGTGCTCAAAGATAGACCGCGACACCATAATTCCCAAGACGGCCCTAAGAGGCAAAATCCACAGGTCATCCTTACGTTTTTACTGGATTATCACGTTCTCGCTTCTTTGGCTTCCGATTTCCGATTTCCCACGACGGCACCCAAAGATCGCTCCAAACAGCCCGAGACAGCGGAGAGGGCCCCCAGACGGCGCAAAAGATCCTCAAGGCGACCCAGAGGTCCACAAGAGCCCAACAGGCCCCCACGAGGGGGAGCCCGAACAGACATTGCGAGTGAAACATCGTCCCCGAGACCGCAAACAAAACCCCAAAGAGGCCCATCTCGTATCTACTGTGCATTAGGCGGCGCTGATTCTCCACCGCAAACCTCTCATCACGATTCGCCTATCACTTGGAAATTCTTCCGTCCTGGGCGAATAGGCTTGCCTCAAATGTTTGTTCTGCGATGTTGGGCCCCAGGCGGCGTCCGCACGCTGCGGGGGCGGCTCCCACGCGGCTGGGGGGGGGCAGGAGGAGTCGAGACAGCACAAGTGGAGGGGAAGGAGGGTGGAGAAGAACGAGAATGACGTCGGCGAGGATCGGGCGCAGCAGGAGGCTCGCACCTCACGGAACATCGTCCGGCGTGGTCTCAACGTCTGGGGCTGCCACGGCGGCGGTGAGTGCACGGGCGACCGCCGACACTGGCGAGTTCTCCGCGCCCGCGATCTCCACGTGCACCGGCGGCGCGCTTCCGCCGCGCCCGCCCGAGCAGTCGCAGCCCGAGCCGTAGCGCCGGCCTCCGCCGCGCGCTGCCCGCTGGGCCAGCGAGCCGCCGGGCGCTTGAGTCTTCGGGGTCAGCACTGCGGTGATCTTCACGTGCACGGTCTCCTCGTCGTCGCAGTCGCACGGCGTCGCCGCCTCCAGCGTCGTGTTCTCTGGCTCCGTCGTCTCTGGTGCGGTGGGCTGCGGCGCCGTGCCATCCACCTCGGGGGCGGGAGCGCCCGCTGGCCTGCTGCCGCACAGGCCGCACGACTTGCGGCAGCTGCGGACCACGGCATTCTCGCCGTCCTGCGAGAAGCCGATCTCCTCCGTGGCCCTGTGGCACTCGACCTGGCGGGAGGCCCACGCCCCGCACGGCTCGTGCCGCTCGTCCAGAAACCCAGGCGTGTCTTCGCAGGGCGCGCCCCCCTCTGGCGGCCCATCGCTGCCGGGCACCTCGGACACCTCCTCGGGTAACCGCTCGGGGGTCTCGCCATCGCTTCTCGGCGCGCCGCCCGGCGCAGGCGCCTCGCTGGTTGCGTCCCGTGCCGGCCCGGGCTGCAGCGGCGGCAGGCCCGAGCCGTTGCTGCCAGGCGGGGCCTCGGGCCGCGGCGGCATCCCGACCTCCTCCAGCTCCCCTGGGCCCGTGGTGCCAGCCCCCTGACCATCCCCGTGGGCCTGGACGGGGAGCTCGGGCGTCGCCAGCGGCTCTCCGTCCACGGGCTCCCCCACGGCATCATCTACAGCCAGGCCTGGCTTCACTGGCGGGACCGCTGCGCCTCCAAGAGCGGGTGGCTCGCCTCCCCCCGGCAGGAGAACTGTTCCGTTGCGGAGCTCCTCCGGCGACTCGTCTGGCGTCGCAGGCTTCTCGGGCTTCTCAAGCGTCGCCTCGTTGTTTGGGTCTGGCTTCTCGCTCGAGCCGTTGGGGAACTCGACGGGGATTGGGCGTCCTGTGGCGTCCACTTGAACCTCAGGCTTCACGGACGGATCCTCTGGCTTCGCAGGCTTGTCGGGCTTCCCTGGCGGGTCCTCCTCCTCCTCCTCCTCCTCCTCCACAACTGGGGCCCCTGGCTGCACAAGTCTGTCGGGCATCAATGGCGGGTCATCCTCATCCTCCACGTCTGGCTTCACGAGCATGCCAGGCTCCACTGGCGGATCCTCCTCCTCCACGGCCCGGCTCCCTGGCCTTGGCGGGTCCTCCTCCTCCTCCTCCTCCTCCTCCTCCTCCTCCTCCTCCTCGGCAGCGGGGGCTCCTGGCTTCACAGCAGGGTCATGTTCGCCGAGGGCGAGGGGCCACTTGGTCTCGGGCTTCACCAGCGGGTCCTCCTCCCCCTCGGCATCCTCCGCAGCCGGGCCTGGCTTCACCGGCGGGAGTGCCGCCGCACCTCCAAGAGCGGGTGGCTCGCCCCCTGCTGGCAAGAACACGGACCTGTCGTTGAGCTCCTCTGGCGACCCGCCCGGCGCCGCGGGCTTGTCGGGTTTCACTGGCGGGTCCTCCTCTGGCGTCACAAGCGGGGCCTCCTCCACCTCCTCCTCCTCCTCTTCCTCCTCCTCGGCAGCGGGGGCTCCTGGCTTCACAGCAGGGTCATGTTCGCCGAGGGCGAGGGGCCACTTGGTCTCGGGCTTCACCAGCGGGTCCTCCTCCCCCTCGGCATCCTCCGCAGCCGGGCCTGGCTTCACCGGCGGGAGTGCCGCCGCACCTCCAAGAGCGGGTGGCTCGCCCCCTGCTGGCAAGAACACGGACCGGTCGTTGAGCTCCTCTGGCGACCCGCCCGGCGCCGCGGGCTTGTCGGGTTTCACTGGCGGGTCCTCCTCTGGCGTCACTGGCGTCACAAGCGGGGCCTCCTCCTCCTCCTCCTCCTCCTCCTCCTCCTCCTCTGGGGTCACCAGCGGGGACTCCAGGGTCACCGGCAAGCCCCCGGGGATCACGGGCTCCAATTTCTTGGGATCTTTGCCGCTCAATTCCTCCTCGGCCGGGAGCTCTGCGTGGACCTCGACGTGGACGGCGTCCACGGGGTCCTCCTCCAGAAGAGGACTCATAAACAGAAAGTTTCGAAGGTCCGCTTGGATCGGCGCTGGGCCCTCCTTCCTGGCGCGCTCCACGCGCCAGAAGTGGCGCAGGAGGCGCCGCCAGGAGGCTCTAGCGCCGATCCAAGAAATCCGCGCGGACCGCCAAGAGTTTCGGCACAGCGGCCCCCGCGCCCCAGGAACTGACTACCTACCAGACCACCCCAACCCAACCCGAAGACCCGAATTTCGGGTTTGGGGGGGTACGGGTTCCATATATGTGTTTCTCAATGTTCCCTAGTTCCCCCCCCACACTGGAAATGGAGGGCAAACTAAAGCCTTCGGGTTTGGTTGGGGTGATTTGGTGGGTGGTAAGGAACGGGGAGCACGGCCCCGTCGCCGAGCTCCTCGTCACCCAGCTTCACCGACGCAGGGCCCCCGGCCTCCACCTCCACGGCGGGCACCCCGGCGGGCCCGGCGGCCTCCGCGGCGCCGGCGGGCGCCCTGGGCGGCGCCCACGGGCGCTCCGTCCAGCCTCAGAGGAAGAACAAAAAGCTAGATATATGATTACACACATTTCGGAGGTCCGCACGGAATTCTTGGGGCGGGTCTGAATCCCCCCCTCCTGGCGACGCCTCCGGCGCCGCCGCTCTAAAGGTGTTCCAGCGCCGACCCAGGAAATCCGCGCGGACCTCCGAAAGTTTGTACTTCTATCTAGCTTTTGGTTCCTCGAGTCCAGCCTGTCGACTGCACGCACTGTGACAGCAAGGTGTCCACGGCGCCGGAGGAAGTGAGCCCCCTGGCGCTGGGCTTCACCCGGTCACGGTAGTCTTGCATGCCCACGGGGCAGTCGCGGTCGCCGCCGACCGCGAAGTTGTGCCAGACGCAGTCCTCGTCCTGAGCGCAGCAGCACTTCCCCACCTGGCCGTGCCCAGATGCCACCGCCAACTGCAACCACTGCTGCTCCAACCTGGCCGTGCGGGCCTCCACCTCCTTGGCGACCTGGTCCGCGACAGCCTGGAAGCGCTGCCGCGACGAGTTCATCTCCGCCCTTGCAAGGATCACCTTGCTGGTCAGCGCGTCCTGGGCGTACTGTTCCATCTCTGCCAGTCTCGTCTGCGCAAGCCGGTTGAGGTCCTCCAGGCCTGCCGCCGACAAGATCTTCATGGAAGGCTGCTTGGGGCCGCCAGTGAAGAGATTAGTGAACTCGAAGGACTTGTGGAGGCTGATGTCGACGGAGGGGACGTGACTCCTGCTGTCAGGTGAAGCGTCGACGTCTTGAGAGGAGGCCGCGCCCAGTAATGCAAGCACCCAGAGCGCCCAGAGCAGGAGCATCATCGCGAGCTTGCCGCCTCTCAGAGACGGGATAGTTTCTTTATGTCTCGCTGCGCAGGGAAAAACTGCGCTGAGCTTGAACCAACGCGGCTACGGAAGAGGAGGAAGGAGTTCCAGTCGAGGTACTATCAGAAGGAACGCTAAACAAGGAACGAAACCCCTTCTTGGCCCTAGAAGCGCCTAGGTGCACAAGGAGTGATGGAGGAGGAACCATGGAAGAACTTAAGAACGTAAGGAACATCGAGCCACTTCCGCACCCGAGGCGTTCCTTCTTTCAGCGTCTTGGCTGTAGAGAATGAAGGATATTGTTGAAATGGAGAAGGCGCCCCATTTCGCCAGCGCCACTGAAACTTCCTGATGATGTTTCGTGCTCGGGCAAATGCGGGGCTCGCGCCAACTGTCCGAGCTGGGGTGTGGCCTCGCTGGCAGAGTCGCGCTCATTTTGCACCCACGAACCCTCTCTTCTGAGAGCTGAATGATCTCCGCAATACGGCAGGCATAGCACTTGAGTTCGCCAAGGGGCAACCGCCAGAGGGTACCTCACGGGGAACCTCCAGGGACTATCTCACGGGCCCGTTCGCGCCCAACTTGTGGGGATGTCTTGAACCAAACGTTCGTATTACACCCGCGACCCCCGTCTTGAGAACTGCATGGTCACCGCGATGTAGCAAACATAACATTTAACAGCCCCAATGGAGAACCGTCCAGGGGTATCTCACGCGCCCCTTGGCGTCCATACCGTGGGTGTGTCTTGAACGAGGCGTTCGTTATACATCCACGACCCCTGCCTTGAGAGCTTCATGATCACCGCGATGTAGCAAACACACCATTCGAGCACCCTACGGGGAAACCGTCCAGGGGTATCTCACGGGCCACCTCGAATCCATACGTTGGGGATGTCTTGACCGAGGCGTTCGTTCTACACCCGCGACCCCTGTCTTGAGAGCTTCATGATCACCGCGATGTAGCAAGCACAACATTCACGCACCCTACGGGGAACCTGTGCAAAGTATCTCACGGGCCCCTTCGCGCCCATATTATGAAGATGTCTTGAACGAGGCGCTCGTTTTTCACCCGCGACCCGTCTCCCTTGAGAGCTTCATTATCACCGCGATAAAGCAGACATGGCATCTTGAGCGCCACAATGGGGGAACCACCAGGAGGTCTCTCACGGGCCCTCTGGTTTGGGTACCCCCGATCCCTTGCAATCTGTCAGCACGCTCACTCACCACGCGACCTTTTCCCGTCTTATCCCCAATACCTCACGATGGCCATTACGAGAGCGCCAGGAACTCCAGTCCGAGGAGTACTGGAGCGCGACGTTCGCCAAAGCTTGTTTAGCCCACTTCACGAGATGGCTGGTATCGACCTTTCCCCACCCCGACTGGAGGTGCACGTGATGGCAACTCCTACGATGCCGACGGAAGCACATTTGCAAGCAGCGGTGCCCCCACAGCAACAACAAGGTGAAGTCACATTGACAGCGATCGCTGGCCTGATGGACCACAAGCTGCAGCCCTTCCTGGAGCAGGTCGCCAGCGTGAACCACGAGGTGACCGCACTGAAGCAGCAGTGAACCGACCAGTTCAAGGCAATCGAACACGATTCCGCTGTGCTCTGGGATCGTTTGGACAGACCGGAGGCTCAGGCGAAGCTGTCGCAGAATGCTTCACGAGCATCGTATCTTTCAGGATCGGGACTGGCGGGAAGCATCGCAGATCGTCTGAGCAAATGGGAAGCAGAGTTGTGCTCTCTCACCTCCGACCGCGGCCCCTCGATCCAGCATGCGGCCATCTTCGGAAACTTGGATTCGCTTGGAAGTAAATCGGAGGCGGAGAAGTGGCTCTGAGACCAGCTATGGTACGCCGGAGCTCCCAGCCCGCTCGAATTCTATTCAATGGGGGAATTCGTAAACCTCATGTTCGCCAAAGTTGGTTCGGCAGCCGACCGAGACACAGCGGTGTCGAAATTTCGTGCTGCGAAGCTGGTGCTGGACAAGCCGGTGTGGGCAGCACAGGACCTCTACCTGTTGAAGCACGCGTCGCTAGGACGATGGTTTTCGGAGCTAAGTCCTTGTTCCTGACCTGGGGGTTCGCAAAAAGCGCGCTCTGGGCAGACCCGGAAACGAGTTCGTTCCACCTCGGCGAGGGCAGAGTCTTCCAGGCGACGGTGGAGAGCAGAAAACTCAATTTCGACTACGGGCTGGAGTGGGAGCAGCACCTTGTTGACGATCCGGAGTGAAAACATTTGGTATTCATGCAGACTGCCAGGCTCCAGCGTGAGGCAAGGGACTCTAAAGGAGCAATGAGAGGCAAGGACAAATCCGCGGCTTTCCGCGGATAGGAGTTACGACACATCGGCATACTGAGTACTGGCGTTCCTATTGGCCGTGAGAGCTAGAGAGACGAAGTTCTATCACAGTCTCAGGGGCCAGGCGTTTCACCTTCAGGTTCACATGAAACTTACTTTCGGCACGCACGATGCCACCCTACAGTTCCCAATGCTCCAGCAGATCACGGTTTGGGCGGCCTGCTTCTACCTCATCTCCCACATCCTCCTCAAAATGACCATCAAGAACAACCACTTTTTTACAGACCTCCTGACTTCCTGATGCAAGGCGGGAGACCGGGACATTTTAGAGACCAAAAAACACGACGTCCAGTGAACATCACCAAGGTAGCCACGTGGAATGTGGAAGGACTCCGGCTAGACGCTGATTGCACGAAGCTTCATCAGATCATTGCCATCATGAAGGAGCGGGAGCTCGCGATTGTCGCCTTGCAGGAGACGCATATCAGCGCTGCACCGTTCTTCACGTAATTACGATGGCTGCCTGGTGATACTTTCAGGCTGCCCCCAACATGAACGGGAGTATGCTGGAGCGGGGTTCGTTGTGGCGCCGTGGGCGCGGCACGCTGTAATGAGCTTCATACAGTACACCAGCAGATTGGCCAGAATCCGAATCAGAGCTCCTGGAGGATCGGTGTCGTTCATCTGTGCTTACGCCCCGCACTCGGGCCATGACTTCGAAGTTCGGCACGCTTCCTTTGGTGATTTGCCTTTGCTTTACAGAGAAAACGAAAGCGCATGGGCCAGTATTCACGATGGGCGACTTCAACGCACGATTTGGCCACCCTGACTTTTGCGACTCGGAGGTCGTAGGGCCGTTCACTTGGGGCGACCGCAGGTTTTGTGAGCAACCAACATATGTTGATAGAGCATTGCGCTTCTCTTGGCCTTCTGGTTGCAAATTCTTTCTTAGAAGCACCGTCAGATCAGCGGGTGACGTATTTCGGCATTGGTGCAAGTGCCGCCTCAGAGCTGACTCCTCGCAATTTCGCTGAAACTGACCACGTGCTCTTTCGGCGCGAGTGGCAAGGGGCAGTCCAGTCAATTTCTTCAGACAGGAGCGTCGGATTCACTTCGCACCACTTCTTGGTCACAGCTTTGCTAGACATTCATATTCCAAGACGCCCCCGAAAACAAGCAGAATGTCTCTGAACCTGGCGCCCCTGCGACTGCCGAGCGTGGCAGCCCAATTTACCGCGGAATTCCTGTCCCACGTAGGCGGCACCCATCCGGGCCATTCCGAGACGAGCGACGCCTCAGAGGACATGGCGACGTTCATTGAGCAGTCCATGCACGACGCCGCCAGCGCGAATTTACTCTGCACAGCTGCGCGCCCCAACCGGCCATGGATACAGACTCGGACGCAAAAATTTGACCGAGCTGCGCAACCGTGCCCGACGAGCTGGCAAGGCCACGCTGGAGAAGCAACTCTCGCAGCAAATCAAAGCATCTGCGAAGACCAACAGAAGGGAGTGGCTAGAACAAATGCTTGCTGGCGGCGATTGGGAGAGTCTGAAGCGCTTCCGGAGCAGAGGTCGCAAGTGCCATGGCCGTGTCCGAGACGAAAGCGGCCTGCTGGTTGACAGCGACAGAAGGGCGGAAACTATGGCTACGTATTTCGAGACGGTACAATGGGCAGCTCCTGCCGGCGACCGCCTGCTTCCACAAGGGGCCCAGCTGAATGAGACAGTTGCGTTGAACCTCGATGAGTTCTCCATGCTGGAGCTGCGCGAGGTCCTGTCGACACTGAAGGCGGGTAAGGCGGCGGGCCCAGATGGGGTGCCTCTAGATTTCTGGAAAGCGCTGCGCCACAGTGACCAGGCATGTTTATCTCTCCTTAATATTTGCAATAAGTGTTGGAACTGCCTGTCCATTCCGCAGTCGTGGAAACATTGCGCAGTGACAGCCATTTTCAAAAAAGGCGACGAGTCCTTGCCGCAGAACTACCAATCTCCCTCCTCTCTGTCAGCTACAAAGTCGTAGCGAGCCTCATTTTGAACATAATCGCAACTGGAGGGGTGGAAGAAAAGCTGAGGGACACGCAGTTCGGTTTCCAGAAACGAAAGCGTTCCACTGATGCGATTTTCTTACTCCCAAGGGCGATTGAACGGACTTGGGCGTCCAAGGAGGGACATCTTTCAACGATATTCTCAGACTGATCGAAAGCCTTTGACAAGATCGACCCGGCAACCCTCCAAATCGCTCTTGCCAGGTTTGATGTCCCGCCAGCCTACTGCGACATGATCGAGAACATTTATACCATTCGCACGTTCGACATGACAGACAGCCACGGCACTTCGGGCACGCGCCCAATCGGCGCCCAGGGATGCCCGTTGAGCCCATATGTGGTCATCATCACGCTGTCCGTTCTCATGGCGGATGTACAAGCCGACTTGGTGAACGAGCTCGGCCCGACTCCACTTGATTGTATTTGTTGCGACGTCACGTTTGCGGACGATAGAGCGATTATCTCGGATGACATACCGAGAGCACACATTTTCTGAACCGTCTAATTGTTCGAGCTCACGCATACGGTCTGGAGCCAAATTGGGCGAAGACCATACACCTTCAGGCCAGACATACATCGGACATCGTCGCTCCTGATGGAGCCCCTGTGAAGCCAGTGACGTCTGCAGTCTACTCGGTAGGTATTTTGTGCGCAGATGGAGGCACCGGTACAGCCGTTGCCAAGAGAATCGGGGAGGCGAGGGCTGCGTTCCACAATTTGAAGCTGGTATGGCGGCATGCCCACATTCCACGAAGGCGCAAGCTCATGTTGTTTCGGGCGTACATCATACGCAAGCTGAGCTACGGCATCGAGAAGCTCTGCCTCAAGAGAGCCGACAAGGACAAGCTCGATGCCTTTCAAGCGCAATGCTTGCGACAATTATTGGGCATACCACACTCCATGGGGTCGCGGGTCACAAACGCAGAGGTGCGCAGACGAGCGCAAGAAGTGACTTTGAGCAAAACAACTTTGTTCCGGCAACTGCTGTGTTTTGGAAAGATCGCGGCTATGCCGGATTCGCTTCTCAAACGCACGGTTTCCAGCGCTGGAATCGTTGAGCCTTCCGGCCTGAATGCGCCAAGGCGGCGAGGCCGACCCCGTCTGACATGGGGCGCAATGGTCAGAACGCACGCCCTTTCAGCGATACGGGGCTTCCCCCCTCCCTGTCCTCGTCCTCCTCCTCTCCCTCCCCTCGCCCCTCAGGAATGTGATTTGTCGCAATTTCTCAGTCCTGCAAACTATAGCCAGCAAGTGTGGAAGACAATCGCCAGAAGGCACGCCTTTTGCCGAACTGCCCTTGCTTTTTTCAGCCGATGTGTCGTGCAGACACGGCGTTATTGACTCGACCCCTGCCCCTTCAGAACCCCGCGATCCCCGCGTTGTTGCAAGCATATCATTCGGGCGCGCCAAAGGCCAAGGGTAGCCGCCAGGGGGCACAGAGAAGGCAACATACGGAGGCAGAGAGAACCAGAGAGAAGCGCTCACAGCGAGACTTGCACTCACTCAATCTGACTCGCGTCCAACTTTCACTCCTGGGCACTCGCCGAGGACATTACCGGACCATAAAAAATGCACATACGGGGATAACCGCGTCCAGTCAATTAACCTTTGACCAGAGGAGGAGGAGGAGGAGGAGGAGGAGGAGGAGGAGGAGGAGGAGGAGGTGGAAGGAGAAGGAGGAATGGGAGGAGGATGTGGAAGGGGGAGGAAGGCACACATACGGCGGCTCCACGTGGCGATAGCGTCGGCGCTGGTCCAGGGCACCGCACACACCTCTCAACCCTGAACGACCGCGGCTTCCCGCTAGCGCAGATCGCTTGACAGCTGCAGGTTCGGCGCCACGGCGCTCCGCCTTGAGCGCCCGCGCCGAGGTCGCCGTCGCTTCGAAGCGGCGCCAGCCTGACCGGCGGTTACAGTCAACCCGAGTAATCCGCCGACCCTGTCGGCGTGTGTGAAGGGCGTTTCGGTTTGAGTCGGGCTTTTCCGTTGGAGTCGTCGTCTCCGTCCTCCTCTGTTCTGGGCCCTCTTCCTCACACGCGCCGTCCAAAGCATAATTGAACCACATAGGAGTGGAATCGAAGAGAAGCCCCTTCTCTTAGATCCCTCTCCGCGCCAGGGGGGGGGTCTCGGGCGGAGTCCTGGGGTGGCCCGGGGAGAGGTCGCCACCCAGATACGCTTTCCCCCCGCGCGATCCTGAAGCCCACAAGAGGCCCCCAGGACACCCAAAAAGGCCTCCAAGAGGCTCCCAAGAGACCCCAAATTTCCTCCCCAGAGTCCCCCGACAGCCTCCCCCAGAGACCCCAAGAAGAATCCCTGCGGACTCGGGACAACGTCAGCATCGTCGTCGTCGCCGCCGCCACCGCCGCCGTCGTCGTCGACGTCCCCCTTCAGGGTCGGCGGCGCGGGCCGTAAGGCCTTCGCAATAAGGACGCATGATAAGGATGCAAGGGCCTTGAAAAGCCATGTCGACACTTTGCAAGCGGGGCGTGGCCAGCGAAAGCGGCCAAGGACGGGCCGAAGGGAAAGGATGCACGGGTAACCTTGGCAAATTGCTCATACTCACTATGCAGGTTGACTGTATGTACCGCACGCGGAGGAGGCGACCCCAATCCTCGGGTGTTCGTTAAATCTAGGGTAATCCGCCACCGTGCCTCTGAGCACGGAGTGGACGTGCCCTCAGGTCCTTTGCTTCATCCTCTGAGCCTCAGTCCTCACTCCTGAGGAATCAGAGCCCACATTCTCTAATTTCTCAGGGCCTGTCGCGGTTCCTCTGCGCTCCCTCGCATCTTCTCGCGTGACTTGGTCCGGCCCAAGAAGACGCCAAGAGGGGCCCAGGGGGCCCCAGGATGCCTACAAGACGGCCCAAGAGGGCCCCAAGAAGCCGAAAGATCGTCCCAAGACGCCCAAGATGGCCCCCAGATGGCCCACGAGGCCTCCAAGACGCATCAAGAGGCCCCCAAGAGGCTTCCGAAGAGGGACCCCGCAAGCAAACATCAAATATTGTCTTGCTTTTTGCAAGATTGTGGCGTTCTCGCGTTTGCGGCTTCCCGACGCTCCAGCCGGCCCAAGAGGCCCCCCAAACCACCATAAGACGGCCCAAGAGACCTCCAAGAGGGCCCCAAAACGGCGCAAGAACGCCCACAAACGGCCCAAGAGGCGCACAATACGGCTCAAGAGGCGCCCAAGACGGCCCCTACAAGGGCCCAAGAGATGGAACACGAACCGAAAATCCGAGCCTTCCGCCCCAAGAGGCCCCCAGGAGGCTCCAAGAGGCGCCAAGAGGCCCCCCAAAGCCCCCAAAGAAACCAAAGAGGCTCCAAAACGGCCCCCAAGAGGCCCCAAAACCGTCTCCAAGGGGCCCCCGAGAAGCTTCCAACCAGATCTCAACCTACATCCAATAGGCTTCATATCCACAACACAGGCACACTGGGGATGGACCGAGAGCCATTTGATAAACGAGGGGTGGTGCAACGTACACCTTTCGTTCACCGTTTGGGCCAGCGGTGGCAATGCAGGGTCCTTTGAATGCCAGTTACATGTATTCCTCGATCCTCCCGTTTTTATCCCCCCCCGTTGCCGTCCGCCTGAAACCCTTCGCCCCCCATCGCGACGACGCCGCCCTTCGCCTCCGCGAGCAGGCCAAATGCCGACAGCCTGGTCTCGGCGCACCCGCCGGCAGACACTGACGAACCGCTGACGCCGCCCGCGTCGCCCGCGGCGCTGCCGGCGGTGGAGCTCGGCGGGGACCGCGAGTCCGCGGGTTTGTCAGGGAGCTCGGGCGGGCTGTTGGGTTTCGCCTCGCACGGGGCTGGGCGAGATGGAGCGGGGGTGGTCCAGGATGCGCAGATACCTACGTGTGCAATCGCGTGAGTGGGCGCCATGTACATCACAAGAATGATTTGGACTGTTGTGGGCGTGCTGAATGGGATTCCTGCATCTCTGCACGGGGTAGAAGTGGGAGGGGCAATTACAAACTTCAAAGCAACTCGTCGGATAACGCGATAAATCAAAAATGGTCAACCCGCAGGCCCTGCGCCCCCTTCTGGCTACCAAAATGCAAACCCCAATGGTGGGTGATTCGTGTGGTGATACGCGCCTCCGCCCATGCTTTGCTTGCGTGCTGCAACATCGGGTAATGTCCCAGCCTTCCAGCTCACAACCGATGCCTCCAACTTTTCCGAGCTTGAAATACTGAGTGGGTTGTATGGTATCACCTGCAGTACACCCGCAAAGAGTGCAGCAAACAGAAGCAGAAATCAGTGCATCGGACTGGTGTGTAATTTGTCCGCGCCCCCCCTCGGTCCCGGGGGCACTCGGCCAAAAACGACTGGGGGTAAGGGTGCACCCTCCTCGGAGGCCGGCATTTTCTGATCGTTCCGCAGCGACTGCGACGGTGAAGGAGGGTGAGGAAGAGGGTAAGGATGGTGATGAGCAAGGTTGGTTGGTTGGGCTCTGCATCTTGGATGAGTTGGGAAGTTAATCCCGTAGGGCAGCGACCGATAATATTGATATGATATTGGTAATTGCATAGAAAAAAACTACAAACTACACAATGATCGGCGCGGGCGGCGGCGAGCCTGCACTGTCGAAGCCGAAGTGCGCCGAGCGGGCGCCAGCCGTCTCTCCATTCAGTGCTGCCGACATCTCTGCCGCAGTTCGGGGTCGGAAGCGGTTCCCTGCCACTGTGGGCCGATGAAGGGGAACTCGAACAGGCATTCGGAAGACCAGGGCTTCAACCTTGAATCATGACACTGCGGCCCGACAGCTGTTTCGTGAGAGCTAATTACCGACGTCCCCGCCATTGCAGGGCACCTCGCGCTAGCGTAAACTGCTGATACACACTGAAACAGTCGGCATGGCCAGCCCCCAACCGAAAACGCAGTTCAAATCGGCACGTTCCCAGCTCACTAAACCCAAGGAGCTCAGGAGATTAGATTCAACCCAACGAAATGGTACCCTAGGAAGTCTTCCTCGGAGTGCACGTGCATGCCCTATACCACCTCGACCATCCTAGGGTTTATTTCGGGACCTTTTGGAGCCTCTTGCCGCGGGCGCTTCGCGGTCATCTGGCAGGGCGGGTGGGTTGCGGTGGGGTGGGGGGCATTTTCGACTGAAGTACTCTGCGCCCCATCGTGATCTGAACGGCCCGAATCTCACTGGGGCGGGCCAGAACGAGGTGTAGCGCGCGAATGTCGTTGGTCAAAGCAGGCAGGACGAACTTTTGCAATAATCGTAATATCTTGCCCGCGGCCCTTGTCTTTGCCGCGAGGATTCTTCTACGCCTCGCGGGAGCGCAAGGCGCCCCTGATGCGACGGTCGACCTCGGGCGAAGCGCGATTATCGAACGTGGCGAACTGGCTTGGCACCTGTGCGCCCGCGCCCCGAGGGGCAGAGGGAGCGGTGGCAAAAGGGCCAGGGGCGCGATCCTGAGCGCGGCGCCCCTCGGAGGGTTTTACCGAGCTCGAGGTCTGGAGGGCCTCTCCAGCCCGCTGACCGCGAACGCGGAAGGGCCGAGACTGGTCGGCCATGGAGATCCACTCCGCGCCGCCGAGGTTGACCCGCCAGCCCGCCCTCCGAACCAGGTCATGCCGGGCGTCTAACGCGAGGGCCGCAGATTCCGTACAGCATCCAATTCTCCAGAAATGGTCCACGAAGATGAAGAGGTGGACCCTTCGGGGATCTCGGGGGTCTCTCTGAAGGGCCCGGCGCGCGCGCGGGGGTCAAGGGATCGTGGGTCTTCTCGATCCAGGGCCCCCCCCCAATCTCGCGCCCTGCAGGGGCTCGAGGAAGGTCTGGTCAGCGCGGGCATCATTATGGCTTGCATCTGCGGGGTCCGTCGGGATCTCCTCGGTGGATAGACCGGGTCGTGGCGCGGGGGCGCGACGGCGGTAGACGTCGCGCGATGCTGCGGTCACGGGCCCTGCCTGCCGCGAGCGTGCTAGGCGCTGCCGCGAGCTTGGAAGCATGGCGCCAGACACCGTGATAAACGCAATCTTAACATGCGCAACTGCTGCGCGCGCGGGCATGTCGAATCCCAAAACTTGTTCAATCCAACTGTCGCGATCCGATAATGACCTCGGCCGCCTGGCGCCCAGGGCGAATGGCGAACTGACCGGGCGGCAGCGGCGCACTGGCCAAAGATCCCAGATGGGAGAGGCACTGTGCATAGGCTTCCCGAAGGACTGATGACGCTGCTATGGGCCGCCAGTCCTTGACGCGCGGGAGACTCACATTCCCCTTAATCAAGCGGGTGCCGCGGCCACTCCGCCCGCCAGTTTCCTCAAGAGCTGGGCCACGCATAAGGCGGGGCTCGAAAATGGCCGCGGCTGCATCGTGGAAGTCGCGGTCGCGACTGCAGCGTGGAAGTCGTCGGGCGCGTTTAGAAACAACTCTATCGTTAGCGGCGAGCTCCGAAAACGCGACTTCCCCATCCTCATTTTCGGGGTTACCTGTCTCGCTCTCGCTCCTGCGATCCTTCTCGCCTCATCGAGCTCCTCCACCGCCCGCCCCCGATCAATCCAAGGGGGCGCGGCCATCGCATTCCTTGGGCGATGCAAGTCTTTGGGGGGAAGTCTCGGCGACCGAGAAAGACTCTGCCGCGTCTGAGGCGCGGTGGCCCTGCGAATGACAATTAATAATGATTGCCATGTCGGCGGTGGATTTGACGCGTCACTGCGCCCCTGTTCGGGGCGCCATTCGCAGTCGCGCGCAAAACCGAGGGCGGCCAGTTGGCGGTGCAGTTGAGACTCAACAGCGCAGAACAAATCCCGCACCCTTCAGTCCTCGGCCGATGTCCCAAAAAAGTATATATCCGTTTACATAATCGTCGGGTTGGGCTGGGTTGTCGGCTCGGGGGGGGGGGCGCCAGGCGCGTCGGCAATCCCGGGGGTCAGCGGCCTGCGCGACGGCGCTGGCGCGGAGAATGGCGGGGGGGGGGGGGCTGGCGTCGTTGGTCCGCCAATGGTCGGACTCCCCCAAACGTCACGGGGGTGGGCGGGGGGGGCGCGCCGGGCGAAGCCGGCGGGCGCACGGGGCCCCCGCGGCGGCAGCGTCAACTGCGAAGGAGAACAGCTGGGGCCGCGGCTCCGGAGTCGCTCGGGGCGGCGAACCGCGGCGAACGCCTCCAGGAACGCGGGGGCCACGGCGTCCAGGGCGGCCTGCCGGCGGACCCAATGCCAGGCAGTAACCCGAGAGCAACGCGAAGTGCATCTCGAGGGTTCTCTTGAGAGAGGATCCGCGCATGGCCTCGCAAGGTTGTCGACGCAGAAATGCCCCGCGTCCGTCGCGCGGGCCTTCCTCCGCTCCTGCGAGCAGACCGCGTGGTGCTTTGGAACTGAAGACCAAAGACTGAGCAGTAGCGCGACCAGGCCCAGGTTGTGGAAGGGCGGAGGGGCCTCCACTTTCTCCGGGTGCTCCGCGGAACCTAGCGACCGTCGAAAACGAACTTAATATTGGCCCGCCGCTGGATCGCGCGACCCCCGGCAGGCGACGAAAACTTGCGCAGATACCACAAAGGCGCCTCGATAGGAGCCGAGAGCACCGCCGAGCTGTTGCATTCCCCGAGGGGCGCCCAAAACGAATGATTCCGGAGGCCCCGAAGCGGCGGGGCCGTGGACAGAGGCAAGTGGACCACCCCCCTGGACAGGCGCGGCTGCCCCGAGGCAGGCAAACCCCCAACCGGCGCGGCCCGGCTGTCAATCCCGAGCGCGCGTGCGAAACCGAGGAACTGCGTCGCGGGACGGCCCGTCCAAAGAAATGCCGAAAGCTTCCTGGCCCTTGAACAACGCGCGCCGCGCGGTCGAAAAGCCCAAGTGGTCCGGCGCTCCGTCCGATCCGAACATTGCCGGTTGATTGCTTCAGGGGGGGCATGAGTAAAGCTGGCCGAGCCCGCCCAAGCACTCGCGGGGCGCTCGGCTTTCGGGGCGACGTGCGCGAAGTGCATGGATCGACGCGGCGGCCGCGGAGAAGTCCGCCGCGGCCTTCGGGTGGCCCCGCGGGTGAGCGCGCAATCGATCTGTCTGGGGCCCCCGCGCCGGCCGGGGTCTCGGCGCGCGCGTTCTGCGCGCAGGCGATGCTCGCGCATGAAGCGGCAGACCTCGCGCGCTCTCCGAGCGAGGCCATCTTTTCGAAGCCGATCGCGGAAAGCGGGGGCGGCGGCCAATCGGGGCGAAGGGGGGGCCGGAGTCGGCGACCGAGCCGGGGCGAGCTTTGGCGTCGAGACCGATCCGCACTGGCGCGCCGCGCGAGACTCGGGCCAGGCGGGCGCGAACCCCGCCCGAACTGCACGGGGGGAGAGACCTATCCTTTGAAGTGCGCAGGCGGCGGCAGGCACCGCGACTGCACGACCGAATTCCCCGCGCTGCGCCAGGGCCCCCGCGCAGCGAGATCCACGCGTCTCGCCGAGCACCTTCCAGCCGCAATCTCGATCGATGGCAGCCGCATCCTGCGCGCCCGCGCCGCTCGGGAGGAGGGGGGGGGGGCGCGCTCGCGCGGTGGCCGCCGATGCGATCTGGGCGCAAGGCGCCCTCCAAGGCCAGTGCCCTGGAAGACAAGCCGGCGCCGCAGGAGCTCCTGTTCGAGGTGCCCGACGAGGCATGAATGGTCATGCATGTCTCGCCGTCGCCATCTCCCTTGCGCCCCCGAGAGATCCTGTCGCGGCGTCGACTTGGACTGGATCTCCCGCGCGTGCGAGTCGAGCTTCAGGTCCAGGCCAGCGTCGGTGAGCACGGCCGTCGCTGTCTGACACTCCGCCACGAGGTGGGGCGCGCGGCCCGTCGGACCTCGATCGGGCCTCCCTGGCGGCCGTTGCCAGGGATCACGCCGAGGAGAAGATCGCCTCGCCTCTGGCAACCATGATGTCGAAAGCGGCGTCGAAAGTTCCCGGCGGATGGTTGGGGATGGCGATGGCCAGCTGCTCCTGCAGAACTCGCGCGGCCTCCACCTGTTGCTTAACGGCCCCGATATCCCAGCCGGCCATGTCGACGTTGAGCCACAAGGCCTGGCCCGAGTGGTCGCGGCACTGGCCACCGTCGAACTGGCCCTCATTGCATCCAAAGTTGTCCACATCTGGTCCGAAGAAACAACGTCAATCTCGAGAAACCCACAATAACTGCCAGCCCTCACGATCTTGTCGTAGGCCATGGCCCTCGTCCTAAAACTGTCGCTTCAACTGCTCCATCAAGACACCTGAAGACTCGAAGTCGCAGCTTCGTGCGCACGCAGCCCTGCGGAGGCTCATTGGAACGAATGCTGCTTTCGAAGCCGTCGATAGCGGTGCGGAAAACGCCGTCGAAAATTGTGTGCGAGTCCGTGGGGCAGGTGAAACCCCTCCGCCTCGACGCGCTTCCATCTCCATGAGTCGCCTCTCGAAGTCATGCTGCTTTATGCCAAACTCCTCCTGTTCGACACTCACCTGAGAACATCGACTTCTCCACGCTATCCATATCCTCCGTCAAACTATCCACCTGAATTCCGTGCTAAGCGGTCGCGTCGTTGAACATCCCGCCCATGGCCTTCAGGAGGCGTGCCTAGGCACCGTCCAGGCCGTGTTCCGAGGCGCGGGCGACGGCGGATGATTCCGCGTTCCACGGCTGAGAGGCTGCAGCTTTGCGGCGCGGCCTCCTTTCTGTGTTGTCCATCGCCTTCATCAGACACGTCCATCCGGTCCTGAAAATCCGCACCCCCTGCTGGGGGAAGCCTGCCGCGAAGCAGACGCGGCGCCAGATAAAATGGTGTACCAGGAGACAGAACGGCGAGAGAAAAAAGGGATTGTGGTCGGTGAGTGCGGCCCATTGTCGAAACCTGCGCACCCAGAAATTTGCTGAGCCAAAACGGAATGGATGGATGAGAGGGGTGAGGAAAACGAGGGCCAAGAGGAGGAGGAGGAGGAGGAGGAGGAGGAGGAAGACTAGGAGAAGGAGTAGGGAGAGTGCACCGCCTCCTGGGTGCCAGGCGGGCTGAGGTACGTGGCGTTGTCGTAATCGCAACCGTCGAACGCATAGCTCGCCTCCGACTCGGGCCGGCTGCCGTCGCTGGCCTCCGGCTCCTGCTCCCCGCCGCCCAACTCTCCTGGAGGGAGAAAAAAGTCAAGCTCAGCGAGCCGTGCCCTCCTCATCCTTCTCCTCAGGAGGGAGGTGGGAGGACGAGGGATAAGGGAAAAGCGAGAGCAGGAGAAGGATGGAAGAACGGGGGCAACAACGACGACGACGACGACGCCGAAGAGAACGAGGAGGAGAACGACGGCATGAGTCAAGCATTCCTCTCTTTCCTGCAGCCAGCCTGCAGCCCCCCCACACACATCCTCCTCTCCTCGTCCTCCTCCTCCTCCTCCTCCTCCTTCTCCTGTCCCTTGCCTTCCCTTCTCTTCCTTTCCTCCTCCTTTCCCTCCTCCTCCTCCTCCTCCGCCATCTGCTGTTGCTTAACGAGGCGCTGTCGGGCAACTTGGTGGCGACTCCATAGCTAGTATGCTGGTATGGCCACCTCTTGCTGCTGCTACTGCTGCTGCTCCTCCTCCTCGTGTTCTTTTCGTATTATTAGTATGTTGTTTGCGTTTATTATTCGGACTCTTCTCATTATCAGTCTTAGTATTATGATGATTATTGTTATTCACGTTCTTCTTCACCTTCTTCATCCTCCTCCTCGTCCTCCTCCTCCTCGTCCTCCTCGTCCTCCGCCTCGTCCTCCTCTTCCTCCTCGACTTCCTCCTCGTCCTCCTCCTCGTCCTCCTCCTCCTCGTCCTCCTCCTCCGCCTCCTTCTCCTTCTCCTCCTCCCCCTCCTCCCCCTCGTCCTCGTCCTCGTCCTCCTCCTCCTCCTCCTCCTCCTCCTCCTCCTCCTCCTCCTCCTCCTGGGCGCACTCCCGTCTCCAGGGTCGTCGCAGAGCCAGGCCAGGAACCTCTCGTACTCGAGGGCACCCGACCTGCTGAAGTCGTCGAGCGCTTCGGGGTGCTGCGTGAACAAGCGGCCGACGGGTGTGGCCTCCTGAGGGGGGGAACATCGTACCCTCTCCTCCTCAGCCATCCTCCTTCCTTTTCAGCCCTCCCCCTCCTCCGCCTCCTATTCTTTCCTCAGACCTCTTACATATTCATGCCCAATCCTCCCTTCCCTAACCCACCCACCCCACCCCACACCACGCAAGAGGTGACGGAAGGGGCCCCAAAATCGGCCCCCAGACTTCTCTCCCAGAGCGCGTCCTGGCCGGGATCTCGGGGCGGGTTCGGCCATGGCTACGACAGCCCCCAACGGAGGCTCAGACAAGGCCAGAGAACGTCAAAATCCACCCTCGATCCTCTTCGCTCGTGTGGGTGGGAGGGGAAAGTGGGGACGCTGACCCTCCAACCAGCAAACACTCAAAAGCGGGCTCCGGACCCCATGCATGGGGTCCACCCTGGCTGTTTCGTTCCGAGCCGCTTCCTTTCGCGCGGCGACGCAGCCAAACAACGAGGAGGGGTAGGGGAAGGACTCGGTTGGCTCGGGTGTCGCTGGCCCGAGGAGCCCCGAGATTTCCCCGCGAGGCCCAGGCGGCCTCCGGAGCACCCCTCGCGAGAATCGGACAGCCCGAGTGGCTCTCAAATGGCGCACCCTTTGGCAGCTCAAGCTTGCGGGGTGCGACGACTGGAGGAGGGCCAGTTGAGACAACGGCGGCTCCCCCGCATGGCCCAAATCCGCTCCAAGTCGGCCCCCAGACCCCTCCTGAGGCCCATCCCTGCCAGGTTCTCGAAGAGGATCCAGCCGCGGAGACGAGAACCCCCCCCCGAGGCCCCCCAGACGACGAAACACGCTATAGCCAGGGCCGCCGCTGTCTCGATGGGCCCCCGTCCGAGACGAGGGCCCCTGAACTCCAACTTCTGGAAAACTCCCCCGATATTGACTCCACTCTGGATGGCGGTCCTTAACGACAGAGCTCTGTTGAGCGGCGCCCTTGCATGGTACGTCGTGTATCGGATCCGTCGCCAGATGCCGCATTCGATCACCTCCGCTCACAAATTCCATCGCGCTCTGTCACGCCGCCTATGGCCGTGGGGACCTCCCTGGAAATCCTGGGGACACCTCGGGCCAGCGAAACCTCTGCCAACATCCGAGGGATGTCCTCGGTCGGACGGCCGGCCCCGGGCCTCAGGCCCCCGCGGCCGCAAAAGGGGGGCCGTCGGGGCCGCCCGCCGCCGACCGGGCGCCCCGTCTCTCTTCCTCCGTACCCCTGGCACTGGCCCCCGTTCGGGCGGGTGTGAGGGGGAGGGGGGGCGACCTACACGGGGGGCGAAGAAATGGGCCCTCAAGGGGCCATCGAGGGCCCCTATTCGCCCAAGGGCTTAGGTCACCCCAGGAGAGCCCAGAATCGAACAAGTCGGATCGGCTATCGAAATGAATCGGATCGGCGGAAATCGGCAACCAAGTCGGGCGAAGTCGAATCGGCGGAAATCTTCCTTCGTGCCCCTGGACTCCAGCTTCTGGAAGACCGCCTCGACCTTGCTCCGATCTATCCTGCCCGTGCGCCCTGGGTCGTGGCGGAGGAAGACCGCCCGGATCTGGGCGGCCCTGCGCGGCCAGGAGCCGCCGAGGGAGGGGGGCACGGGAGGGGTATCCTTCCTCCTCCCTCCTCCCCCATCCCTCAGTCCCTCCTCCTCACTCTCTCCCCCCTCTTTCTCCGCCTCTTCCTCCGCCTCCGCCTCCTCCTCCTCCTCCGCCGCCTCCTCGTGCTCCTTCTCCTGCTCCTTCTCCGCCTCCTCCTCCATCCTCCTCATTCCCCCTCCCGCCCCCTCCCTCCTCCTCCTTCTCCCCCTTCCTCCTCCTACTCCGCCGCCTCCTCCCTGCCACACTCCAGTCTGCAATTGCGCAACACGAGTGCTACTCCCCCCATACCCCCAGATGCTGTCCAGTGTTGCCGCCGCCTCTCCCACAGCTTGTTTTCTTCACACCTCATGATCACATTTCTAAATGGTTTGCTGTGTGCCTCCAATTCCTGAAAGACAGGGCCAGCCGGGAGGAGGTGAGACGAAGAAGCGTATCCCTTTTCGCACGGCTGTGCTGTCCAGGCGGCCAGGGTCAAGTGGCCCCAAGATGACCCAATCTGCCCACAAGACGGCCAAATATACCTCCACGACAGCTCGAAAGCATATCAAGAGGACCCCAAACATGCCCAATGCGGCCCCTATTACGGACCCCGTCAACCAAACTGTCCCTTAGAGACCCCCACAGACCCCCAAGGGGCCTCCAAGAGGCCATCAGGTGGCCCGAAGAAGTTTTTTTTCTTCTCCTCCTCCTCCTCCTCCTCCTCCTCCTCCTCCTCCTCCTCCTCCATTTGTTCTCCACAACGCCCTCCCCGAATGGGTTCCTACAACGGCCCGGGCAGCACTTTGCCCAGTAGATTAGCCAGAGTTCGGCCCAACGTTTGCCCACATTGTATCCAAAAGACAGGGGGCGGCGGTAGTTCGCCATAGGCGTTTTCGGTTATGTGTGTACACAGTGGTGCTGATGCATGTACGCATGTCATCCGATTGGAACGTCATCGCTCCCAACGTGGCGTTCCCGCGGCAGCGCTGGCATCCTTTAAAGATGGGTGCGTTGCTCCCGTCGTTCAAAATGGCGTTTTCGCCCGAGCACGAACTGCATTTCTAGATCCGATTGCTCCTCGTCGTTGCCACCCCTCCTGTCACCTCCTCTGTCTTCTGCTGATCCTCCTGTTCCTCCTGGTCGTGCTAAAGCTTCTCCTTCTCCCCCTGTGGATGGACTCCTGGGTTCCCGGGGCCCCTGATACATCAACAGGGGATGACGCGATTCTGGACGGGAGAGGGTGGCAGGCTCCTTTTCAGTACCCAGCGCACATGCTCCTCGAAGGGGGCCGGCAGGCCCCCTTCTCCTGAACCAGCACAGCAGTACAGGAAAAAGGGTGCAGGGTTCTGGGCTAAGCTGTGTAGGCACGCAGAGGCCCCGAAGTGACTTCACGGGGCTCGGCGGGCCTCTAGAATCACACTGGCTGTAATCTACTGCTCAGGACCCGCTCTACTCCTCGACCTCACTCCCTCCTTGGCTCGAACGAGCAGTCTCCTGCTGCTCCTGTAAGTTCTGCTGGATATCCCTGAGCCGCTTGTGGGCCTCAGGCTCGTAGTTGAGGTCGCCCGCGCTACTGGTGGCGCGAGAAGCGCCCGTGCAGTCCATATCGTAGAGGTGGAGGCCGTCACGCAAGCGAAGCTGACGGTCTCCTTCTTCCGACGCCTGACTCGGTCTTCGTACCTACGGCGAAGTGCGATGTGCTGTTGGCGGTGATGCCGTATTCTCCTTCGTGTAGCGCTTGTCGTAGTAGTGCGCTCTCGCCCTTGCGTTTCGTCAGTGGGTCTGTGAGCTGGCTGGTCCCCTCGATCCATCGTAGGTGTACTTCTGGTCGTTGCATGGCTGCTCGAACGATGGCGACGTCGATCGCCGCTCGCTTGTCCTCGGCCAAGCCCGCCTTGGGATTGGTCACGTGATCGCGGCCACCTTTGGAGTCGGTGACGCTGATGAATGGAAACATGGACGCCAACATGTAGGGCCTCATCAGGTCGAACCCGTTGTCCACGATCTCTAGCAGCATGGTGCGAGTAAATTCTGCAATGGCGATGCCCTCCGAGATCGAGATCGCCAGCGTCTCTGCTCCGAACTGGTGAGCACACTTCCTCAAGTTTATGACTCTTCCAGGACTGGATAGAGACGATGGCGGGCTCACCCTTGAAGATCTTGCGCTGTGTAGCGAACGCGATGTAACCTGCCTGTGAAGCTCCATCTCGTGCATTGGCCCACGCTGCCATGTCGTGAAACGGGATGTGATTGATCTTGGGAACTACTGAGCTGAACTCCTTGGGCATCCTGCCGATGCGATTCGCCTCCAGCAGGTCATCCACCACCAGGTTGGGCAGCTTTCCTTGGAGTAAAGATACAGGACCTGACAAGTCAGGCCTGGTCTCTCGTGCCAAGAAAGAAATGCAACCACAGAGACTTCGTGCGTGATGGGGCTCTCCGGGAGCAACTGCAGTCTGAAATTATGTGCGCCGCTCGGTGGCTATGTCGGTCAGCTGGATGCTGTGAGCACTGAATGCCTGTGAGATGGTGATCTCGGTATAATCCTCATTCTGTGTGACCGCCTTACCCAATGTGCTTCCCGCTCTTGCGCCGCCAGGCTCCGAAAAGAAATATTTCGCGTAGCTTCGGGCAGGCCGCGTCGAATCCCGCATCTCCTCCGCCTGCGACGTCGTCCTCGGCGAGGCCCGCGACGCCATGCCGCCCCTTTCTCGCCCCTCAGGTAGCAAACGCAGCTGTCGAAGGTGGGGCGCTGGAAGCCGATCTCCTTGGCGCATTTGGCGAATGCAGACAACCATTGTAATGGTGCATCGCCTTGTCCATAGACTGCCATGAGGAGCTCCACCAGCGAGCCGCTCCCCACATCTGGGGCCCCAGTGCGAGGTAACTCCACGTAGAGACTTCGCCGTGAAGGATCAAGAGGGTTTCCAGCAGCAAAGGCAGAGGCGATGTGGGCGCGCTGCAAGGTCCACTTGTTTGAGCAGAGGATCTGCAATATCAAAAGAAACACAGAGTCCGCCCCAACGACGGGGCTGTATTTCTCGAGCCCGAGTAAATCAGGACCGACGCGCCCCTGAACAACCCAGCGTGCCTTCGCCATCCTCCAGGCACCGCCGTTCATGAGCATCAATTGCCGCTTGCTCGCATCGGCCTCGTCTGGATTGCCGCCCTTATCGGCGAGCGCCCATCGTGATCCCATGATCCTGGAAGCTCGCTCTGGATCTTGACGTACTTTTCTGCCTCGGCTGGTGTAAGTAGTCGAACAGCTTGGGCATTCTGGATGTTGCTCCACTCCCTGCGTTTGGCCACGATGTAGGGCTGGTGCTTGTAGGTGTTGAGAAGAGATTTCTCTGTGATCTCCTTGGGGAGTCTTGGATTGGTGCTGGTGGGCGTGGCAAGCTTCATGGCTGGTACCTTCGCCTTCTTGACCTTCTTGTGTGGTGGCGCCGCCGCGTCCTCGGCAATCCTCTCCTCGCTGGTTGCGATCCGCTCGCTCACTGGCATGGCTGAGCTTGGGTTGTCGGCCTTCTGCCTGATGGTAAAGCGGGCGTCGTCCAAGTGGTCATAATACTTAAGGCCAATTGGAATCAAGTCTGGATTGACGTCGGCGGTCTCCTCGGTCTCCGCGATGGGCGGTTGCCGCGATGCTGGGCCCGGGTCGTCTGCAGCTGACTCTGGTGGCGCAATGTGCGCTACTTGTTCTTCTGGATCTTCTGGCGGTGGATCCGGCGCTTCTCAGTGCTCAGCTCTTCCTTCATGGCTTTGTCGGCTTGCTCCCAGGCGGTGACCTCGGCGTCGCTGGCATGCCGAAGTTGTCCAGGTGAACACTTGCGGGGGCCACCCTGGTAAGAACGCCGCACTGCACTCGGGGGCTCTGTCTGGATGACGCGCGCGGGTCCGTGCCAGGAACAGGTAGGTAGCATGTCAGTGCTGCTCCTCCAGAAGTAGCATCGGTCTCCAGGTTAGACAGTGGCCCCTCGGGCAGGTCTGGTCCTCCTCTGCAGTGCACGCCATCACTTCTCTGAACGCTCGGCCTCGATGTGCGCAGCCATGGCGGCCTCGCGCATGTCGATGCTTCTCGCCAACTCGGCATCCCCACTTATTCCTCTGGCTTCTCGGGGAGCCGAAAGGGTCGTTCAAAGACTCGCTGATAAGGTGTGAAGCCTCCACTGCGAACGCCCTCGCCGGTCGCCGCATTGACCGCATCCACCAGTTCATAGAAGTCCGCCCAGTTGTTGGCGTTGAACGCCTGCCTCGTCCTGTAGAACGTCGCACTCGCCACCTTGATCTCGGAACCATCTCCTGCGGCTGCTTCTGGAAACTCGCCCGAAAAGAAGCCCTTCTCGCCATCGGTGATGATCATGCGAGATACCCCGTAGACCCTCCTCCAGAGGGCTCTGTAGTGACGTCGCATTTGAAGTCCATGTCGACTGGGTAGAGGTATCACCACTTGATGTCCTGTTCCGTGAGAGACGACGTTCGTCACTGGTACCTTGGCGGTATTCTCAGGTCCCATCACAAAGAAGATGCCCATGCCGATCACATCGTTGAACTGGTAGGCCGTCGGTGCCTTGGAGGGCTTCGCAAGCTTCGTCCTCTTGTTGGCCACGCAGCTCGGACACTCCAGCTTCTGAGCAGCATCAATGTACGCATGTCTTGCCTGGCCGCACTTCCGGACCATAACCAAATCCTCGTTGCTGCAGTGGCCCATGTTCTCGTGAATCTTCTGGACCTGCCGCTTGCCGTGTGTGTCAGTGCTCTTCTCGCCCTTTGAAACCGCTGCAATAGTTGTTGGTGCCGCGCAGCATTGTGTGCAGACGATTTCGGTATTATTGTTATCCTCCGTGTTCTTCTCGCCCAGGTCCTGCGTCGCCTTCGGCTTCGCCACCGTGCGAGCAAGCGCTCCCGCCACCTCCTGCAGAGTCGTCGGTCTCCCCGAGGTTGGCGTGATGGGGGGTCAACTCACGAACTCCTGACTCAGCAGCTTCGCGTACTTCATGGCCTCCTTCGGTAGAATCGAGAAGTAGCTGCGTCCTTTCCGAAGGGCACCGCCCCCCTCTATGTAGGGCAGGCGCTTGAGCTTCTTGACCAGCGGGTCCTCCCAGGTCTCTGGAGGTCGCGTCCTGCTCGTAGTAGAAGTATATTCCGTTGACGGCCTGCTGTTGACATGCTGGATGGCATTGTCGATCAAGCTGTTCTGCTTCTCGCTCCTGGAGGTCGCCGATGTCGGCTCCGAGGTGGTCGCGTAGATTATCCACCAGCGGGTTGGTCGTCTCGTTGGCATTCTCGTTCTGGATTAACTCGCGCAGCTTTGTCAAAGCCTTGCTCCGAGGTGACTCGTCTAGCTGTTCCCACTCCTCGGTCTCTTCCAGCTCGTCCATCTGCTGACGCGGGATGGCTTGTTGCTTCGGGTCAGTCCTCGCAGCGGTCCTCGGACTGGTCAACGCTGCCTCGCTGCTCTCTGGTGACTTCGTTGCTGTGTCCCCCTTCTTGTTGCTTGCCCTGGTCGCCCTGGGCCGCCAGCCCTTGATCCTCGCCCCCTCGTCCTTGATGTCATTGAGCATGTTGATGACCTTCGGCATTCCTCGAGCCGGCTGCGGGTGGCATTCCAGATGTAGGTTGCCCCCGCAGCAGCGCGCCCAAACCGCCCGACCGTCGCCGCCGTGGTTGGTGAACTCGTGAATGCAGGCTGTCTCTCGAGCTGGATCGTGATCTCGAGCCAGCTTCAGACCGCTCTTCGGTGGACAGGGGCCCTGGTTGGGAATGCCCAGGAACCTGCAAATCTGGGCCCACGTCGGTGGCCTGGGCTGGGTGCCGATCCCGTGCCAGGGCCACTTGCAGATCTTCTTGCTCCCTGAGTTGTGCTTCACCTTCGGCCCCCTCTTGCTCGAAACAGGGTTAGCCTCGGCCCTCTCGGTCTCCGCCTGGCCTGTAGGTGTTGGCGGCCCTCGCGACGACAAGCGCTGCGAGCGCCGAGCACAGGTACTTGGGGGCCCTCCGCACGACGTGGAAATATGGAGAAATACTGGCTGATGGTGATCGGGGAACCTGTCCGTGAAACCTGACTCTAGCCGAACCAACGTTTGGAACCGTCGTGTTGTGTTTTCCGTACGGTACGTTTGAACAGCTCTATCCCCGCGTCGTTACGCCTTCTGCTGCCCCTGTTTAGCCTGTCATCGCTGCTCATGTTCACTATGTTGCCAGCTGTGAGGCCGATGTGTGTTGTCGTTGCCCCCGTCTAGCCCGTTGTAGCTCGCTTGTTCTTTGCTTCTCCTGCTTCGTGCCCCTCCAACTTCCAGTAGTGCTCGTGCTAATTCTGCGATTCGGTGCCGCGTGCTCGACCTAGTCTCTCCCTGCGCTGCTCGACGCTGTTGTTCCAAGTCCCCAGTCGTGCCCAAGGCGCCCGAGGAGAATCAGCCTTCGGCCTCCTGGAGCCTCTCGAGGTCTGCATGGGTCGACGTTGATGGATGGATGCGCTCCGAGCCCGTTCCGAAGTCCATCGGAACCTCCCTCGAGCACAGAGTCCAGCTCGCAGGCTCCTCCCACGGCTGCGCGAAGCTGCCCAGCTGCAGCAGGTAGTGCCCCCCTCCCGCGCGTGCCGAGGGAAGTCGGACTTTGCTCGGGCAAGTCCAACTCCGACTGGAACGCACGCAGTGACGCCTTCCGTTCCCCGACGAAATTCTTGGAGAGGAGCAGCGGCGCCGCGCCCTGGACCAGGCACGCGAAGATGACGTCGCTGAACTGGCCCAGCATGATATTGGGATGAATACCCCCTCGGTCGCCGTACTGACCTGGTCGTTTCCAAGCCTGCACTTCTTGTGATAGGGCACCGTCTCCAGCGTGATGTTGTGGGCCCCCTTGTAGTGCTTAATCCAATCATCGAATGTCTCCAGGCCCATCATGTTGAAACCGCACGCCGTGCCGACGGCCCCCCAGCCTGGTCCTCCTGACTTCTCAATGTCGATCGCCAGCGGGATGTGCTCCACCATGTTTAATAGTGTGGCCATATTCGCCTCCGTCGCCACGTAGCTGCGCGCTTCGTCGTCCTGGAGTACGGTCACCGCGTAGAAGCCCCCTGTCGGTTTGTTCTCGTTCTTCGGGTTGTCGGAGCACTCATTGTGCCAGTGCCCCAGCTCCTTACAGATGCCGCACTTCGTCCTTTTCTTGATGTCCTCGATGTTCTCCTCGGTCCTCTTGCGGTCCTTGATGTTGTGGAACCCTCGGTTCGTCTTCTCGTCGGCCACGATCGTTCGTGGTCCCCCCCACATCCTGGGCTTCGGTGGCGGCCCAAGTAGCGCCGCCAAACAATCCAGCGCCTCCGTCTCCTTCAGGGTCTGTCCGTTCTCGAACTTGTCGTCTGGCTCCTGGTTGCCATCATCTATGCCCCGCAAATTGGCCATCGCGTCATAGATGGGGTTGTCCTCGTCCTCGTCCTCTTTGCCATTCTGCGGCTCCTCCTCTTTCAATCCTGCCAAGTAGGAGCCCGTCCTGGTCGAGATCGTTTTCTCGGTGACCGTGTTGTCATCAGTCATGCGCTTCAGGATCACGACCAGCTTGTTCACGTCATAGTCGCAGCCCGTCTGTATGGGCACCTGGTTGCGCATTGTCTTGGCCAAACCTGCTCCGCGGAGCAGTAAGAAACCCATGGCCGTCTCGGTGGGCGCGTTCGGCAGCAGTCTGACCAATTCCTTCTGTTCTGAGCGGATCCTGTTCGTGAATGTCATGTGTGTCTCGCCCCGCGACCTCGGCGCCGCGAACACAATCTTCTCGAGATGCTGGAACGTCTCGGCGTCCGCCTCTGGGAAGGCCAGCGTGTCCAGGGCCATGACCACTACCCGCAGCCCGCCGGCGAACTGCACGCTCCCTGGACGTAGGTGCCCAGTCGCCGTCGCCGCCTCCTTGGTCAGGTGCAGCAACAGCGTCTCACCCTGCTATTCAGGTGGGGCCGCGGTCAGGCGGCTCCAACTGTCTATGGCCAACCTCTTCTCGGGCCACTCGCTGAGATCCTTCCCGTCCCAAGCTGGACATGGCGGATCCTTTCCTCGACGTCCTCCTTCTTGCCGTCGTCCTCCTTCGTGGTCATCATCCAGCTCGAGTCGTCTTCGATGGATGCCGACCGTCTTCTTAACCTGGTCTGGCGTGCCGAAACCTCTCGAACGTGACGATCTGTTTGACTGCGTATCCTCCTGCTTATCGTCCGAGACCCTATCATCGTTGTAGTCGTCGCTTGCACTGCCAAGCACCCCAATCGATTTCCTGATGATTGCGGGTCATCCTCCACTACTTCCACGTATCCCACGAGGAGCTGTTCTGCTGTGTACGGTTCTGGATCCTGCTGCTCTCGCCCTGTTCGTCGTCATCTACGATATCCCACCATCTGTGCATGCTGTCGTGACCGCTGTCATTGCCGTCGCTCCGCCTACCACGTGTGGATGGACTCCTGGGTCTCCGAGGTCCCTGATACATCAACAGGGGGTGACGCGATTCTGGACGGGAGGTGGCAGGCTCCTTTTCAGTACCCAGCGCACATGCTTGTGGAAGGAGGCCGACAGGCCCCCTTCTCCTGAACCAAAACAGCAGTACAGGAAAAGGGTTCAGGGTTCTGGGCTAAGCTATGTCGGCACCTAAAGGCCCCGAAGTGGCTTCACGGAGCTCGGCGGGCCTCTAGAATCACACCCCCTTCTCATCCTCATTCCCCTTGCTCCTGCTGATCCTCCTGCTCGACCGCCTCCTCCATTGTACAAAGCCTCCACCATCTGATTGCGCATCACGCGATGAGGTTCTTCAGGGCGCCCAGGTCTGCGGACATATTCAACACTATCAATAGGAAAGGATGGGTGGGAGGAGTGGGATGTCAAGTATGGCGCGAATGCACCTGGCTTGCCTCTCTGATTTTTCCTCCCGCATCCTCCTCCTCCTCCCCCGCCTCCTCCTCCCCTTTCCCCCGCCGCCTCGTCCTCTTCCTCCTCCTCCCCCTCCTCCTCCTCCTCCTCCTCCTCCTCCTCCTCCTCCTCCTCCTCCTCCTTCTCCTCCCCCCCACGCATACGCAGAGGACGACAGATACGAATTCACAGGTGACTGCCCTATTCTGGCCTCTGTATGCGGGGGGGGGGGCCTGGTCGCCACGTCCGGCGGAGCCCGCCCCGAAATCCTGGGTGTCAACGATGTCCTGAACCCTCTCACCATACGTCCTTGCAGGAACGTGCATTTCACGACGAGAAGCCCAGCCTCGAGGGACGGGAGCCCCAATGGGCATGCCATTCGGGTGAGAACACCGTCTTGAGAGGAAGCCGCTGTCCACCTTTCTGGCTGCGAGGAAGTGCCACGGCTACGGTGTCGTCCAGCGAGAGCCACGCTCCGAGAGAAAGGGGCAGCCCTCCTCATGTGCAGATGCTGCGCACTAGTGCACTCCTCGGCATAACGGATGAGAAACTGTTTGCGTGTATATATTTATAAATAGGTGTATGTGAACACATATATATATATATATATATATATATATATATGCATGCATACATACGTACATGCATACATGCATACATACATACAAACGTACATACATACATACAGGGTCAGAAAAAGAGAGAGAGAGAGAGAGAGCGTTAAACAACAACACAACGGAACTTCCCTAGATCTCTCTTTATATAAATATACGTAGCACCCCGCAATTGCGGATAAGAGTGAGGGGGCGGGCGCGGGCGACGCGGGCGTCGTCGAGCTGGCGGACCTCGTGGCCCCCACCTTCCCTGTCGATGGCGCTCTGCTCCTCCTCCTCCTCCTCCTCCTCCTCCTCTTCCTCGTCCTCGTCATCGTCCTCATCGTCATCGTCATCGTCATCCTCCTCCTCCACCTCGTCCTCCTCTTCTTCCTCGTCCTCCCTCTCCCCCCCTCGTCCTTCCACCATCGTCCTCCCATTGTCGTCCTCCCCCCCATCGGCCTCCATCATCATCCTCCCATTGTCGTCCATCATCATCGTCCTCCCCCTCCTCCCCCTCCTCCCCCTCCTCGTCCTCCTCCTTCCCCTCCTCCCCCTCCTCGTCCTCCTCGTCCTCCTGCTCCTCCTCTTTCTCCACATTATCCTTACATCCTGTCTTCTTCTGTGTCCTCCTCGTCCCTTGTTTACTCATCCTGCCTCCCCCTCCTTCCCCAAGATAGCGGCAACGCAATCTTTGTCTGTTCCACTTAATGCTACCCGGCTTCTCTGATCAAGGCAACTCGCCAGGGCAAAGTTGCTGGACGGGCTGGTGTGGATGCGCGGGGCTTGAATAGGTCGTTGCGGGCCCAGACGGCATGCAAAAATCCGCCGCCGCGCTTGTGCGCCATTGGTTTGTTCAATGAACGTGGATTGGGTCGCGACTGGGTCGCGGGCTCTCCACCTCCACCTGGAAGGAATCCAAAAAAAAACCGCCGCAGGCGCCGAAAAATTTGGTTTGTACCCTGAACGTGGTCGCGGGTGGACCGCGGGCTCTCCACCTGGAAGGAATCTAAAAAAAACCCGCCGCAGGCGCCGAAAATTGTGGTTTGTACCTTGAACGTGGTTTGGATCGAAAATAGGTCGCGGGGTGGGTCGCGGGTGGGTCGCGGGTGGGTCGCGGGTGGGTCGCGGGTGGGTCGCGGGTCGGGGCGGGTCACGGGGTGGGTCGCGGGTGGGTCGCGGGTGGGTCGCGGGTGGGTCGCGGTGGGTCGCGGGGTGGGTCGCGGGTGGGTCGCGGGTGGGTCGCGGTGGGTCGCGGGTGGGTCGCGGGGTGGGTCGCGCGCGGGGGTCGCGGGTGGGTCGCGGGGGTGGGTCGCGCGGGGTGGGTCGCGGGCGGGGTGGGTCGCGGGGTGGGTCGCGGGTGGGTCGCGGGTGTGTCGCGGGTGGGTCGCGGGTGGGTCGCGGGGTGGGTCGCGGGTGGGTCGCGGGGCGGGTTGCGGATGGGACGACGACAACAAACAACAACAACAAACAACAAACAACAAACAACAAGCAACAAACAACAAACAACGAACAACAACAACAACAACAACAACAACAACAACAACAACAACAACAACAACAACACCAACAACAACAACAACAACAACAACACCACCACCACCACCACCACCACCACCACCACCACCAACAACAACAACACACAACAACAATAATAACAACAACAACAACAACACCAACAACAACATCACCACCACCACCACCAGCAGCAGCAGCAGCAACAGCAGCAGCAGCAGAGGCAGCAGCAGCAACAACAACAACAACAACAATAATCCACACCGCGGAATCCCACTTCAGCCACGCACACAGGGGCAGTGAATGACCGTTCGGCCCCCTCACTCTGACATGCTAGAACCACGCGCGCGGTTTGCGCACACTTGGGTTCTGGCCCAGCCCATGGCGCTGTGATGTCATCAGATGACAAGAAGGTCGGGGTTTGCGAGCGACTCGCTGTCGGAGACGGGCTGCGACCGTCTTGGGCGGTTATGGAATGTCGCAGGGACTGGCCCTGGGGCTGTTTGGGCACTGTCTTGAGGGGGGGCACGTGTCTTCGGCCCGAATTGCGCCATCCACGGTTGCCAAATCGTTGCAACGACACGCAAGTCTTGGCTTGCGGGTGCGCTAGGGAGATCGCTGAACAGCCTTGGGGCATTGACTGGCTTTCTGATGAACTGTCGAGGCCGTAGTTTGCTGGTCTGTGGACGTCGTCACATTTTCTCGGCCTGTCTGGCCGAGCATGTGCGGAGGGGCGAGGAATGACGGAGAACGGGAAAAAACTGCCTTGAAATAGAATGCAAGCGCTGCCACGCCATCTGGCGGAGCACGTGAAGAATGCAAGAGGACGCACGGGAAACTGCCTTGGTACATCATGCACGCGCTGTCACTCCGTTGGCGGAGCACTTGCAAGAAGATCAAGAAAAGACGGAGGAAGGAGGGAACGGAACCTTGTTATTGAATGCATGCGCTGTCACGCCAGTTGGCGGAGTACGTGCAGAAACTCCTGCTGGTCGCACCAACAGGGCCTCAAGTTCGATGATGTTGCCTTTATTACTGAAGAGCTTTCGAGCCACCTCCAGTCGTCCTTCGGCATCCGTTGACCCTCTTGACGGACTCATGCTGGAGTACTGTTTGGGGCAACCTTGGGGCCGTTTCGAGACCGGTTTGGGAGCCTCTTGGGCTGTCTTCGGGCCCTCTTGGGGCCGTGCCGAGGCTGTCTTGGGCCCAGCTTGTGCCGTCTTGGAGCCGTCTTGGGCTGTCGGGAGCAAGGAAAAGCGGAAAAACATAACATCTTCAAACATCTCAAGAACATCAATGTGTTTGGCCTCATCGAGGACTCTTTGGGGCGCGCCGGGGGCTCTCCCGGGTTGTCCTGGAGACCTCTTGAGACGTGCTGAGGCCATCCTGAGCGCTCTTGGTGCCCTTTCAGGCCGTTTTCGGATCATTTAGGTTCTTCTTAGGCGGTCTTGGGGGTATCTTAGGCTGTCTTGGAGGCCTCTTGGAAGCCCTTGAGAGGGGTATCACAAAAGGTGGCGAGATGGTAGCGAGGTGCCGGGCCCCCGGGCGAGGATCGAGGTCCGAAGTTGCTGCCTTCGGGGCTTCTCGTTGTCGCGGCGGCTGGACGCGTTGGACGCATCTCGAAGCGACGTTTTCGTCCGAGGAGGTGCGGACGACGTGGAGGGAGATGGTCAGGCAGAAGCATTAATATGCTCCCTTTTTCCAGCTCGGGCAGGCCAGGTGGCGAGGATTCGAGACGCTGCCGACGCAAGAGGCTGCCGCCACGGATCTCCGATCCGTAGGCGGCCACGGACATCAACAGAAATTTCGGACACACCCTGGCAACGATAGAGTGAAAGCAAGGGGGGGGAGGGAGGGGGCTTGAGCGAAACGTCAACGGAAGATCGCAGACGGGCGGCCAGCGACGCTTCCCAAGGAGCAACCCTGTTCGGAGAACGACTTAGTTATGCTCCCTTTTTCCAGCTCGGGCAGGCCAGGTGGCGAGGATTCGAGACGCTGCCGACGCAAGAGGCTGCCGCCACGGATCTCCGATCCGTAGGCGGCCACGGACATCGACAGAAATTTCGGACACACCCAAAATGCTCCAAAATGCACAGCTAGACTGGCAACGCCGAAAATACAACAATTGTTAATCAAGCGTCGGAAGACGTTCCGCAGCACGTCCTATCAAAACGGAGAACTGATTAGCCCGGGACCTGGCTTTCTCGTCGGCATAGGCTCTGGCGAGGGTGCTGCAGAGCTTGCGAGGATATGCCTCCGCCAATCTAGTGCGGAACCTGCCCGACGCGTCTTTGCCGGACAGCTCTTGATGCCGCTGCCCAGTGAGGACACAGACGGGCCCTGTACATCTGAACTTGGCCAAGGGTGCCAAGTCGAGGAGAAACGCAGCTATCCTGGTGCTCTTCCTCCAGGGCGTCCCGAACCGGCAGTACTCGATCACCTGGGTCGTGACCTGCCGGCGCTGGAGCAGGGACAGCATCGGCGGCAGCTGCCACGCGTAGCTCAGCGCGGGGTTCTCGACGGACCAGGGGACGAAACACTGGCAGCACAGCACGCAGAAGGATATCGTGAGCCGCGCGTACAGGTTGCCCCACTTCACCTTCTGGAAATCGGCGCCCTCGGGATGGAGACTGGGCAGGCCCCAGACGTGCTCCTGGGACCGGAGCCGCGGAGGTCCGTTGGGGCGGTCTCGCGCCCGCGAGAAGGTCTCGCAAGGAAAGCCAGCATGCAGGCCGCAGACGAGCCCCGCCCGTATCCACCCTCGAATGAGGCGGGCGCTCCTGGGGTTGCGCAGGTCGTAGGCGGGGCCGTACAGGATGTCCCACCGCAATGTGGGGACATTTCCCCGCTCCATGGCATCGGACAGGTGGCCCGAGCCCGCGAACAGCTCGAGGAACACGGCGACGGTCGGCGCCCTCAGCGGCCCAAAGACGGCATCCGCCTCCCCCGCAGCGCGTCGGGGAGCTCCTGAGCGGCCGCCGCGGCCGCCCGCTGCACGTCGGGCGGCAGGCGGCGCAAGAGGTCGGCCAGTCGCCCCCCGTGCTCGTAGCGGCGAAGGCTCCGCGCGGACCGCCACCGCCCGCGGCGCTGGATCTCCTCCAGACGTCGGGCGCCGGTCGCGAAGTCGACGCTCGCCCCCGTGTGCCGGAAGCGGTAGGCGTCGAGCGGCCCGAGGGGCCCCAGGCGCCAGGCAGCCGCGGCCTCGTCCAGGGCCCGGCGCAGGGCGCTGGGTGTCAGATCCAGCAAGGGCCCGCCGCCGCGCTCCAGCCCCAGCTGCACCAGGGCGTCTGCGAGCGCCGCCTGCCGGTCGAGGTCGAGGACGATCGTCTGGTCGAACTCCTGGCTCTTGGACGGGGTCCGCATCTCGAACGGGTGGAGCAAGACCGATGTGGGGGTCCACTCGCGAGCTCCGCTGAGGGACCCCGCCGCTACGTCGCGGCCCCGTAGCAGGAACGGCTCTCCTGGCCGCAAGTACATCTCCATCATCATGAGAATGGCCAGCGCGTGGGGTCTCAGCCCCTGGCAGATCATCCAGCACGCCAGCAGCGCCACCACGTCGTAGGGCAGGGGCAAGCGGCCCCCTGCTGGGGCAGCGCGGCGCCAGCCTCGCAGACACTGTCGACAGACGGGCATCCGCCCGCCCCCCAACCTGCCCAGGCGCGGCTCGGCCCACTGCACCGACGCCAAGAGCTTCTCGCCCGCGCTCAGCGAGCCGCCCTCCATGAACATGATCTCCATCAGGCCCGCGGTGGCGATGTCCCACTCCTCCTCGGTGTTCGGGTGGGCCCCGCGGGAGTCGCAGAACCTCTGCAGAGCGGCCAGGTAGAGGGAGTACTGGGCCTGCGTCTTCGCCGACACCGAGGCCCTCCGGAGCAGGCTCATCTGGGCCTGCGGGGCCCGCGCCGCCGCCAGCCTGGCAGCGCGCTCCACCCGCGCCCGCGCCGCGGCCGCCCGCAGGCCCCCAGTCTCCAGGGGGGCCAAGGCCGGGCGGGAGGCCGACCCCGCACTGGGCGGCGGCGGCTGGCGGCCCGCGGGGGTCCTCGATCTGTCGGACCTGCCGCGCGCCAGCATTGCGACCCTCGCCGGCGGCGGTCGCGAGTTCGCGCCGCAGGCCGGCAAGCGGGTCGCTCGGCGCCGGCCGCCCGCGCGAGGGTCCGTCCGCAGGGTTGAGCTCCGACGCGATCCAGCGCGACCGCAGGAGGCTGCCGGCCCCCAGCAGCAGGGCGCCCAGCCGGCGGGTCACCGAGAGCATGCCATCGCAAGACGACCGTCCCTTCGTGGCGGCCAGGGAGGCCGAGATCGAGTCCCCAATCACGAGCAGCCTCGAGCCCAAGTTGGCGACGGACCTCAGGAGGTGGCGCACCCCGTACAAAAGCGCCTCCGCTTCCAGGGCCGGCATAGACGTCGAGGCCCGTTTCCACCTCTGCCTCCCGCACACCCTCCAGGGAGCCCTCAAGAGGTCCAGGGGGGCGTCCTCGAACGACTTCGTGCGCCGGCGGTCGAACTCGCTTTCGGGACGGTGGTGTCGAGACTGGGGCCGCACGAGCTCCATCAGGATCCGCCTGTCGGCCTCCCCCTCACCCCCGTGCAGCTGCGCAGCGGCCGCGGCGAAGGCGCGCTCGCGGGGAGGCCGCCCTTCCCGGGCCGCCTCCCGAGCCCCAGCCCGCTCCGAGTGCCGGCAGGCCTCCTTGACCAGGGCCACCGGCGGTCGCCCCCGAACGGCCCCCAGGCCCCACGGCGACGCGTCCGCCACGACGACGTCTGGACAGGTACCCGCAGAGGTGTTGACCCAGATGAGCGGGGCGATACGGTCCCAGACGTCGAGCTCCTTTCTGGCCGAGGCCCAGAGGGCCCGAGGCCCCCGGGCTGGGCCTCTCCGCGCGGCCTCACAGAACCTGTAGCAATATTTGAACACGCTGAGCGACTCTCGCCTACACAGGCCGATGAAGCACAGATGGCCCAAAAGGCGCTCCAAGTCCCCTCCAGAGACCGAGGCCCGTGCTAAAAGACCCCGAATGGCGAGACGAGCCTTCCAGACACGCTCGGGGGTCGGGCGGAAGGTGTGCCGAAGGCAATCGATCTCCCACCCCAGCACGATGGCCCGATCGCAAGAGACAGACTCTTTATGCAGCGGCAGCCCCCGAGACTCGAGGGCCCGGGACACTCCTGCCAAGCGTTCGCGAACAACAGCCTCGCTCGTCGAAATCACCACATAGTTGTCAACGTACTGTGCGTGAGGGGAGGAGGCGAGGGGAGGCGGAGGGGAGCCGTCCGCGAGGCGGGCTGCAGCAGGGGATCCTCCCTCCTCGGCAGCCCGCTCGTGGATCGCCTGGCACCACCATAGCGCCCAGGACCAGCCCATGGGCAAGGCACGCATCCGAGGGGTGACCCAGGCCCCCGGGGACACACGGACCCCCTGGACTTGAGAGATGCCCGCCCACGAGGCCCGAATTCTTCGCAGCCCGAAGTACTGGCGGAGCCCCTCTGGGAGCTCCATGTGATAGAAAGCGTCTTTTATATCGACCTGGCCAATAAACACGGGCTGATCGAGGGAGTCGTCGCCATGCACCTGGGAGAGAGTGTCGCCAGAGACAAGGCTGACAGGGGCGGGCGGCTCGAAATGCTGATTAGACCGCCGACAGTCGACGACCAGCCGCTGCTTGCCGCCCCCCTTTTTTACAAAGAAGCAATCCACCACCTCGGTAGGTCGCTCAAGCGTCAGCTCGGCTACGCCAGCCTCGACCAACCGTTGAACAAATTCGCCGTACAGAGAGGGGGAGTGGAGGCGAGGGCCCCCATAGGGTCGCAGGGGCCCCGAGTCCTTTAACCTCATTCGCGCCACGTCGATGGGCAAAACTTGCGACTCAGCAAAGCGCGCAACAGTACTTTCCCCGCCGGATCCCCAGAGCCGAGCGAGCGGAGTCGGAACCGACCCCGCCGCCGGGAGGGACACGCGGGAGGCTTCGTAGCCCACAGGGCCTCCCCCAGCGTCATAAGGGAGGCCGAGGCGCAGCGCCTGGAGGGCTGCCGCCTGCGAAAGATCATCTGGGGGAGGCCCCAGGAAAGAGACAGAAGACTCAACGTGATCGAGCATGCGCTGCTGCCCGAGGCTCAGATCAGCAGGTACAGGTACCCCTTCACGGCGGCCATATATCGTGTTGAGACCTTCTAAGCACCGAAGAACGTCGGCGTGGCGACGCTGCCGACGGCCGACTCTCTGTCGGCAAACTCGCGAGAGCCCAGGTGCTGGTGGCTCCGACGAGTTGAGCAGCTCCGTGGGGAAAGGTAGCAGATCCCTCCCCACGTTCCTGTCAAAATTCCCCGGCGGCGCGACGGCGTGCCGAGCATCCCCAGTCATGTCAGGATCCCCCCCACCAGACCTGAGGGACGTCTGGGGGGGGCGGTCGGGCATCACCCCTGGTCCTTCCCCTGGCCCTGCCTCCGCTTGCCCAGCGACTCCCGCGCCTCGCGCGCCTTCAGGAGGCTCTTGGCCAGCGACGCGTCCCGCTCCAGCTCCTGCTTGGCACTCTCGAGCAGCGCGGGCGACACCATGAGCCTCGACTCGGCTCGGGCCGTCGCCCCGAAGGCGGCCTGCTCGTCGGCGGTGAGCCTCCCCGCGGAGGAGCCCGCTGTCCTCTCGCGCAACTTGTCGCTGTAGCAGTACTCGATCGTCTGGAGCCGGCGGAACATCATCTCCACCGACAGGATGTTGGACGCGTCCACCTGATCGTGCTGGAGCAACGCCTTCAGGTAGCTGATCACACTGGCGTACTCCTCCATGCCCCACTGGGAGTCCTGGAGCCCGCGCAGCTTCTTGAAGTGCTCGAAGTGGGACTCGAGAGAGCGGCCCTCGCCCGCGAGGTGCTCGAGGCACCACATGGTCGTCCTCGGCGCGATGAAGTCGGGGAGGTGCTCCTGACGGCAGCTCTCGACGAGGTTCTCGAGCGTCCGGAAGGGCCTGCCAGCGCGATCGAGACGGGCCGGCAGTAGGCGACAGTCGGGCGCCACCGCCCGGTCGGCGAAGTCCGACTCGTCACCGATGGCCACCCACTCGACGAAGAGAGACGACCCGTCTGCGAGCAAGACGACTCCGCGGGCGGGGGTGCCCGCCCCAGCGAAGCCCGCTGGAGGGATGATCACGTCGCCGTAGTGGTACCCCCTCCACTCCTGGGCGACGCGCCGGTTCCCCACGGGGGCGGGGGCGGCGTCGCCAGCGCCACCCGCCAGCACCAGGGGTCGGGCCCCCCCGACCACGGCCGCCGCGAGCGCCGCTCCCGCGGGCGCCGGCGCTCCGCCCGCCTCTCCGCCGCCCGCGGCCGGCGCAGCCCCCGCGGCCGCACCTCCTCGGCGCATCGCCCCGCCCGGCAGGGGCGCGGGTACCGGGGCGACGGGCGCCGCGGCGGGCGGTGGGCCCCCCGCTGGCGCAACGACCCATCCTCCGCCCGGCGGCCCGGCGGCGGGGGGCCCCGCGGGAGGGGCGGGCCCGGCGGCGGCAGCCGGCGCCCCCGGCGCAGCCCAGGGCCACGCCTCGAAGACGGGCGCCGGCACGGCCACGCCCTGGTGGCGCCGAGCAAAGCAGCGCCGAGCCTCGGCCTGGGCCTCGGGGAGCCAGGCGGCCACCTCCGCCGCAGTCGGGGCGCTCGCGAAGCGGTAGGCCCGCACGACGCCCGGCGGCCTGGGGGCGAGGGCGGGCGCCCACCGCACCGCGCTGATGTCGGGCGACGTCCCGTCCACTACCTCGCACTGCACCTGGTGGTCTGGCGAGACTAGGATCGCGTCACTCGGACGGGACACCACCCGACCCAAGTTCCAGCGCTGGTGCCACAGGGGAGCTCCCGGCACCGCATACAGGAGGTACGCCACCTGGTCCACCCCTTCCAATGCGGGCACGGCGTCGGCGGCAGCAGCAGCCATCGCTCCACCTCCCGACGTCGCCGAGCGCGATGCCGATCACGAGCGACGCCACTGTCGTCCCCCAGGCCGCCGCCACCGTCGGGGCTGCGGGCGCCGTGGAGGCGCGCCCCCGCTCCTGCTGCGGGCACTGGGGAGCCGGCGCCCCTGGGCAGGCCGGGCAGGGCGGGACCGCGGGACAGGCGCAGTGGCAGTCCGGGCACTCCAGCGCCGGGCACGGCGGCGGCGGCGGCGCCCGACTCAACCAGGAGGCCACGCCATGCGACAGCTGGGTGAGGGCTCCGACCGCCCACGGGGGCACCATGCCCCGTGGGAAAAAGCTTGAGCGAAACGTCAACGGAAGATCGCAGACGGGCGGCCAGCGACGCTTCCCAAGGAGCAACCCTGTTCGGAGAACGACTTAGCAGCTAGAGCAGCAATAAGGCCGCCTTCAAGCCGTCTTTTCGGCGTCTTGGGAATCTCCTTGTGCCGTCCGCACTTTGGATCCTTTGTGCTTAGTCATTACGTGATGAAACAACACAAACTGGACGAAATATGCATGTAGCGTCTCCGGGCCGTCTTGGGTGTCCTCTTGGTGCCTGTCTGGGCCACTTCACGCCCTCTCGGGCCGTACTGGGATCCATTTGGGGCGTATTGCAAGGCCTTGGCTGTCTTGAGGCCTTGTCGGGGCCGTCTTGGATGGCTCTTGGGGCACTCTTGGAGCTCTCTTGAAGCCTTTTGGAACCTTCTGGGCCTTCTTGGGGCCGTTTTGGATCGCCCTTGGGCCATCTTGGGACTCTCTTTGGCCATCCTGGGGCCCTCTTTGGGAGCCGCTTGGGCCGTCTTGGGCCGATTTCTGTTTTTGGCCCGTCGGAAGCATGAAACAGCCAGAACACGAAAATCTGAAAAAAACTTTGAAACATTTGGTTTGTTCGCTTCCTCAGGGCTTCGTGGGACTCCTTTGGAGGGCCTCTTGGCCGTCTTGAGGCCTTCTTGGGCTGTCTTAAAGCTCTTTTGGGCCATCTTGGTGCCCTCCTGGGCGGTCTTGGGCTCTCTGGGAGCGCTTTTGAAATCTTGGAGTCCTCTTAGACGTTTCTTGGGCCTCTCGTCACACCTCGTCCCCTCATTTGACGCGTCTTAGCGCTCCCCGACGGGTCCAAAACGGCCGTGTACACAATCAGTGCTCCCCTCGGCCCCCGGGACCCCCTACCCATTTTTTTGTTTTGACTCTCTCTCTCTCTCTCTTTCTCTCTCTCTCTCTCTCTCTCTCTCTATGTATATATTAATACATACATACATATATACATATATATATATATATATATATATATATATGTCCGCCGGCCCCCTTGTGGGGCCACCAGGCTGTAGGCGCGGGTTCGCAGTTTCCTGTACCAGTTGTAGCTTGTAGTTTCCATTGTTACAGTTCTGCTTCTGGCTGGTTACTGTAACTAGTTGATTGACCGCGCGAGGGGGGGGAGGCCCAAACCAGATTTTTAGCGTCTCCTGGGCGCGTTGTCTGAATTGCTGGGGGGGCTCGAAATCGACACCCCTCACTCAGATCCGCGGGGTCAGGGTCCAAAAACACAAGGGATTTGCCACATTTCTGAAATTCGGTGCCACCTCTCACGCAGATCCGCGGGGTCAGGGTCCAAAAACATAGGGGATTTGGCACATTTCTATAATTCGACGCCACCCCTCACGCAGATCCGCGGGGTCAGAGTCCAAAAACACAGGGGATTTGCCACATTTCTGTCATTCGGTGCCACCTCTCACGAAGATCCGCAGAGTCACGGTCCAAAAACACAGGGGATTTGCCACATTTCTGAAATTCGGTGCCACCCCTCACGCAGATCCGCGGGGTCAGGGTCAAAAAAACACAGGGGATTTGCCACATTTCTGAAATTCGGTGCCACCCCTCACGCAGATCCGCGGGGTCAGGGTCCAAAAACACAGGGGATTTGGTACATTTCTGAAATTCGGTGCCACCCTTCACGCACATCCATCGCAAGGCGTGGTAACCCAAACTGCGAGAACTCCCTCGGCCCTTTAATCGCAAGGTGTGGTAACCAAGCCCGTAAACCATACACGTCTTACCAATCGCCAGGTGTGGTAACCCCTCTTGTGATCAGTTGGTTTTGCTGATTGCGAATCGGCTTCGCATGAAGTTTCGATACTGCTTCACGACAGCGCCAAGGCCTCATGACTTAGCTCTTCCATGGCCCATTCTCCGAGACAGGGGGCGGGCGGCAGGGGGCGAAGCCCTTACTGATTCATATATATATATATATAGAGATGTAAATATAGATCTATATGTATATAAATATATATATATATAGAGAGAGAGAGAGAGATGTATGAAAATGCTGCACATGCTCAGACGTGTGGTCGAAGTGTTCCGAAGCAATACCAACTGATAGCCACCTTTTGAGAAGGAGCCGCCGTCCATAATTATAACAGTCTTATAGGATCTTGAATTAAGGGATGCGCACGGCGCTGCGGCGATAGCCCCATTGGGCAAAAAAGGGCCCCGCCGAACTGTTGGGACGAATGCGTTCGTCGCTGAATTGAGATCCACGGATTCAAACCGCTGACCTGCCGTCTCTGCATTGCCGGAAACGCTCAAGACGAATGCGTGCGGGGCTGAGGCGTTGCGAGGAAGTCTCGGGCGAAACGGCCAGCCCGCGCTGCCGACAGGCGTGGTAACGCGATCAGGAGGCCAGGAAAACGCAGGAGACACGGAGGAACGGAGAAGAGCGGCAGGGGAGCGCCAGAAGGGACAGGGGACAGCCGGAGCGGGCGAGGGAGCGGAAGCGGGCGGAGGCGACAGCTGAGGCAGCAGCGGGGACGACGGGCGGACGCGTGCGCCCTGCGGGGCGGCAACAGATACCGACACCGCCCCGGCCCCTGCCCCGCACCACCGCCCCCTGGGATGCGCTCTGACCACGACTTCGAGGCGAACCCAGCCGCGGCGACAAGGGCCCTCCAGGACGAGCAGCGGCATCGGTAATTGTCTCTCCTTCCTCTTCGCCCCTGGGCGCCAGTCGTCCGCCGCAGGCTCCAGAGGCTGAGGTGCAGCCTGCCCAGGCAGTGCCGAGGGGGTTGACCACCACCAGGTAGGAGGACCGCCACCCCCTCCAGCAAGCGGGCCCCCGGCTGGACGCGCCAGAACCCCCCGGGACTCGCAGAGACGCCCCCGTCTCAGAACCTCCTCGACCCTCGACCCCCCCTCCTCATCGGACCCCGACTTCCAGGAGGAGGTGGCGAGCCCCACAACTCCTGGCGACCCCCCTCGGCACTGCCCGAGGCCTGCAGGGGCTCCAGCCGCCGCGGCTGCCGGGACGCCTGCTGGGCGCCCACCACGGCTGGGGCCGGCGCCGACGCCATCGCTCGGCGCGGCGAGCCGCCCACATCCGGGAGGGCGGCCCCCAGTCGGCTCCAGGCCTCGGGCCGCGGCGCCCTCGGTCGGACGGCGGGCCCGGGGCCCCAGGCCCCCGCGGCCACAGAAGGGGGGCCGTCGGGGCCGCCCGCCGCCGACAGGGCGCCCCGTCTCTCTTCCTCCGTACCCCTGGCTCTGGCCCCCACTCGGGCGGGTGTGAGGGGGAGGGGGGGCGACCTACACGGGGGGCAAAGAATGTGGCCCTAAAGGGACCTTCGAGGGCCCCTGTTGGCTCCAGGTCACCCCAAGAGAGCCCAGAATCGAAGTGGACGAGTCGGATCGGCTACCGAAATGAATCGGATCGGCGGAAATGGGCAACCAAATCGGGAGAAGTCGAATCGGCGGAGATCGGCGGGCTACTTGGCCCCCATTGAGAATTTCGGCGCTCAGATCGGAATCCGAGGCCGAATCGCCTCGGAATCGGAATCCATCGAAATCGAATCGACTCGAATCGGAGAAATCGAAACGAGCCCGCAAGAGACCCTCCCAAGAAAGCCAACCATGAAAATCCGCGCGCGAGATGCATGCAGGGGGGAACCCAGAGCACCCTGAGCGCAGCAGCTCCTTAAACTGCCGCGGGAAGCCACCGCGCAGCGCCCGGAGCGAGGAAACCCAGGGCCCCCGGACGAAAAGCATTCCGGTCTCTTGATGCGCGTCCCCACTGCAGGTCACCCCCCCTGATCACACGCGCGACCGTCTGGGCGGCCTCCGCCCAGACCTCCCCGGGGCCTCGCGGAGCCCGCGCCGCGCGAGGCGCGGCCGAGCGCCTCTCCCCGCGCGCTCTCCGCACCCGGCGGCCTCCCCCTCTCGCGGAGAGGGGCGACTCGCCTGGCCTGGGCCGGCAGGGCGGAGGGAGGTGCAGCGCCAGGGGTGGATTGGCTCTGGGGGGGACACGGCGACATGGAATCGGCGATGCATCGTCGATGGATCGGCGAGAGGCCCCCGGATGAAGAATCCAAAGGTTCCTGGGCGGGTCGGGGCCATCGGGCCCCCATCGGCGATCAATGGGCGATTGGGGGCCGATGCATCCCCCCCTGTGCCTAGCCTATTCCCATCTATCGTTGCCCCTGTCGGAGGGAGGCGCTGTCACCTTCGCGCCCCCATGGTGCGGCCCTCGCTTCCCAGGTCGGCCAACTTCGCGCACGGCGCCCCGTGATGCGCGATCCACTTCGCACCCTCGCGACCTCGCGACGCTCCCTCGCAGACGGGCGGCCGCTCTGGCGCCCCGACCGCGGCGCGCGAAGCGCGATGTCCCCCCGCGGGTGTTCTGGGTTTCCGGAAGGGGCGGTCGCTGCTCCTCGCCCTCTGCCCCCGCCACTCCTGGGTGCCTCCAGGGGTGCTCTCGTGCCCACAGCGGTGCGGGCGTCTCACGGGCGCCTTGCGCTGGCTCTTGCACCCCTGGGGCTGGCGGGCGTGGGATCCGCCACCGCTCCCTGGGCCGCGGAGGCCTCCAGCGGACGGGCGCTGGACGGGCAGCCACAGTGAGATGCCCGCTTCCCTGGGCGCTGCCACTCGCAGGCTGGCGGCGCGCACGCGAGCCACTCGCAGGCTGGCGGCGCGCACGCGAGCGGGGCGGCCGTCTGAGAAGGCAGGGCTCCCGTCAGGCGGGATCTTGCCGCCTCAGTGGAAGCTTCCGAAAAGAGCTTCTTAGAACGGAGGACGGCTTCTGAAAGGCGGAACGCTGTCTCATAAGGCATCGGGCTCGGTAGTCGTGCGACGCAGTGGGCTGAGAAGGCGAAAACCTCACCAGCCCTCCGGGCGTGAGTGGTGTACGGAGCTCGTTCAGCTGACCTCATTATTCCTTCCGCCCTTCGGGAAGGGGGGGTCCTCCCCCTCCCCCCTCCCCCTGGGTCTGGACGGAGCGTTCCGCGGGTGCTTGGAGCATCTGAGATGGCCCCCAGTGGCTCAAAGAGGGCCCCAGAGCCTCCAAGATCGCTCAAGACATCGCAAGATGGCTCAAGATAGCGTCCAACATGTCTTCAAGAGCGGTCAAGACCGCCTCAGGACGGCTTCGAATGCCCTCCGATTGTTCCAAAGAGGTCTCCAAGACACCAGAATCTGTCAACGCCCTAAGGGTTCCAATGTTTTGCAATTTCGCCTTCTCGCTTCCGATGTACCCCTGGGGCCACAAGATGGCTCCAGGACGGCCTCAGAGGGGCTCAAGAGGGGCTCGATACGACCTCATGAGCGCCCAAAAGCGCTCCAATAACGCCGAGGGAAGGCTCCAAAAGACAAATGTTCGGGCCCCGACAGGGGGGGTCTGCACCCTTTTCCCGTTTGGCTCGATGACCTTAACGATGGCCGCAAGAGAGCACCGAAAGCCTCCAAGACGGCTCCAACAAACGTCCCCTGTCCCCCTCCACCCCGATACACCCCCTTTCCAGAGTTCCCGAGAAGCTCCAGACAAACTCTTCGAGATCCATCTTCTCTGCTTGCTGCATTGCATACTGCTACGCACTCCTGATCAGGGCAACTCCCCTGGCGACTGTTCTTGGGAGGTCTGGTGGGGATACGCGAGGCGCCAAGGGTTAGTATATACAGTACCCGAATGCTCTAGTCAATACTGCAGAATGAGACCATGAGGGGTAGAATACAAAAGACCGTAGAACGGACATCCAAAAGGAAAACGGGAAGGGAGACCATTCACAAAGTCATCCGGAAGACCGAACGGGAGACCTGAAAGGATGCCACGAAGAAGACCGCAAACAACATGATTAAGAAAATCGGAGAAAGAAACCGCAAAAGAAACTACACGGAACACAAGGACGACCACCACCACTGAACCATCCATCCTGCAGGACGCGTGGGCGGAAGAGTACGCGACTGGCAACTCTCCAGGTGGACCGTTCACGTATGCAAGAAAAACTGTTATCCCACCACCTAGGATGGATCATTCTGCGATCGTACTGCTGTCGCAACTGACATGGATGCGTCGGGAACCGACCAAACTCTCGCTGAGGGGGACGAAGCGCGACCGAAAGAAGAGGGAGGAAGAGGGGACCCACCCTATTAACGAGAGGAGCTCATAGACAGAGGTGGCCCGACGCTGCGCGGCCGCCAACGCTTTCCACGAGAGGCCCATTGCCTGGGAGCCGCTTGCTTTGCAAAGTATATTTTTCGCCAGGAGCACTCTCCCGTCGTCGGGGAGAATCCTGGTATTGAGGGGAATCGACCCACGTCGTAGTCACGTCAAAAGGAAGCCCCTTCCCTTTGTCCTTCCCCCGGCGGGGCGGGGGGGGGTCCCGGTGGGGGGCGGGGAAAAGGAAGGGGTCATATTCGCATCCCCCGTGTGCGGTTTTTACAGGAGGGGCCCTCTGCAGATGCGCTGGACGAAAAGGGATCGCCACGACGGATCCGCAAGAGCGCCCCTAGACGGCCCAAGCCCCACAAGACAGCCCACGAACGCCTAACGACGGCCAAAAGGGGCCACCAGAAGGCCAAAGGACGCCGCCCAGATACGTTTCACCCTCGAACGCCCCCAAAACCATGAAAAGTTGATTCCAAAAAACCCCAAAATGCCACAGCGCCTCCTCCACCTCCTCCTCCTCCTCCTCCTCCTCCTGCTGTTGCTGCTCCTCCTCCTCCTTCTCCTCCGCCTCCTCCTCCTCCTGCTCCTCCTCCTCCTCCTCCTCTTCCTCCTCCCCCTCCTCCTCCTCCTCCCCCTGCTCCCACTCCTCCTCCTCCTGCTCCGCCTCCTCCTCCTCCTGCTGCCCCTCCGTCTCATTATTCCCCTCCCTCCTTTTGCCCTCCACATCTTCGTCGTCGGGTCGTTGGCACGATAGAATTTGCAATGCAAAGTACAATGTCTCCCGGCTGCATTGCAATACAAGCGCAAGAGACATTGCCCGCTCTGTTCGCTCGGCATCATCATGCAGCATCGCTCTAGTCGTTGGAGGCCGCAGTCGAGAACAGCAAGCATGGTACGTTTCTTGCTTCGCGTGTAGGATCCACGTCCTCTGCCGCAATGCGACGCGTCACCTGGGCTCAAGCAGACGCGTCCGGAGCTCGCACGTAGAACGCGTCGGTGTTGATCGGCACCCGTCTCAAAGTGTCGAATCTCTGCAGTCGTCCAAGCACGCAAAGATCTGATGTTGCGGGGCGTTTGCAACTGCCACTGGGAACCACATTGTTCAACCAAGCCGCGCGATGTTTCCTTCCAACTTTCCGGGTCAACGTGCGTCGCCGGAACTCGTTTTCGTAGTCCCCTGACTGGCGGTAGGCGTTCCTCTCGGAAATAAGTTCCAAAATAGATGTGCTTGTCCATGTCTCTCACGGCCGTACTTCGCAGATTGGAGGAACAACTGCTACGCCGGGGAAGGCTCGCTGCACTTTATCCGCGGCGTCGCCCAGAGAAAGGGAAGGGAGATCCCCGATAGCATTCGAAAGTGTCGCGGTGAAGAGCTTTCTGGCGCCCTTCACCGCGAGAGCACAAGTGTCATTTGTTTCTTTCGGCGCGCGGATCGTTGAAATTCCAACTCAAGACTTGCGCAAGTAAGACAACTGTGACTGTTGAGGGTGGTTGCCCTGGTAGACCAGCAACCTTGCATAACAAAAACATCGAGTGACGGTGTAAAACGCGATCGGCTTGAGAGAACAAGTCTGGCGATATTGTTTCCAAAGGCTGTACCCCCAAATTTTGACAGGCGATCTTGTTGGCATGTCGCCCTTCGAAGAATGTGTTCGCGATGACCGCACTCAACGCGCAATTCCATTTAGAACTGCCGATTAGTCACCTGCGGGGAGTGACATGTTGGTGGGCATCCTCGAAACATCAGTTGGCCCATGTCTTCGGCACCCGCTCCCCGACATAACAATTTACCAGTGTAGCCCCCGAGGAGGACAGGGGAGCTGTGCTTCGTCGGTGGGTTAATGTGCTGGGCGACGTCGGCGTAGAAACTCTGCCGTGCCTCTAGTTCATGCCCACTGTGGGGGACATGCGCGGAAATGAGCGTCGAGGTGCCTCTGGCAACTTTGATCCTGAGCGTCGCCACAATTGACACGATTGCTTCAAACGCGACAACAGCAGAAAGCTCCGAAAGTCGGACGGACAGACGGACGGACGCCGGCGCATCGGCTCCGCGAGGGAGCGGCCGGGGGGGCCTAAGCCCCGAAACTCAAATAAAGTAGCACACGAAAGTGTGTGGTCACGATCCCGGCTCGCTGTTGTACTGGCGGTACTTCCTACTTCCCCTTAGCCTCGTCAGTTAAATTGTCCAAGCATGCTGACGTTCTCTCGGCATACTGCTGGAACCATTCAGGTGCACCTTCAGCTGGGTCCACTTCGCCATCACCACTGCCCAAGCCCATCATCTCGTCGCCGGAGGCCTCCTCAACGGTGTCGTTATCATCCTCCTCTGCCTGTCGGTCTCCTCAACTATGTTGGCGTCCTCGGCAATCCCGATCATGTTGGCTGTCTTATTCTACTCGGACTCAAACTTCACGGAAATCGGGCTCGGCTCTGGATCCTCACGCGCCTCCTCCGTCATACCCGCTGTGTCGACGTCGAATGTCTTCTCAATATCCTCGATGTGGTCGGGTATTTCGTATTATGCCGCCGGGCTGTGATTGAGCCGATCGGGGGTGAACTCCATCTGAAGCTCTGCGTTGCGCTCGATAGTCTTCGACACGATATTGTCAATCATCATGTCAATGTGCTGGAAATCTGCCACTGGAGTCCGATAGAGAAGAAGTTCGATCCGATTGATCCTTGTCTCCAGGCTTAGCTCTGAATGTGTTGATGGTGTGCGCACCTCGATCTCGGATGATACCACAATTTTCTTTGTCAGCATGTCGATCTTGCTCACAGTCGCACTCACTGTCGACTCGATCCGGTCGAAACGCTGGTTTACCATCTTTGCCACTCGCACGACTGCTTCGTGCCGCTTGGCATGCTGAGCTTGCCACACGCTGGGAACAGCCATGGGCATGGTGTGCTTGCTGTGATCGGAATCGGTGCAAAGTGTACAATCCTTGTGCGTACTCTCGCCTCTCGCCCTTGAGCCAAAACGGCTATGACAAACCCGACTCCTGCATCGGATCTGGATTCCAAGTTCGCTTCCCCAGAAAAGCAGTACAACAACCCATCATCTGTGAAACACTCGGCTCCATGAATGTGTTTCCTGTATACATAATATGTCAGTAGCATGCGTTTTCATTATGCTTGCGATTATGTCAGCTTTCTAATTGAATCTCCACGTAACTTAACCTTCCACATTCCACGTGCCAAGGCGCATCGGCTTGATGAGTGAGCATGTCTGCCTGAGTCTCTCCCGATTGCCGAAGAACCTGAACTTTTCCCTGGCCATAACACCGTTGACGTCGAAGCAGAAGATGTCTGCGCCGAAGTATCTGGTACCGAAAATTGGCTGGCACGCCATAAACGAGACCATACGATAGGGTAGACCATGCCGCATACAGGAGGCCAGATGGGCCACTGATTCTGGGTCCGGATTCGCTCACACGTGCCTTTGACATGAGATATGAATATATACATCTGTATATGTAGATTGACAGACAAGCTGTTCAAGGAACTGCATGTAAACACGAGTCTTCGGAGGTCTGCACAGACTGGTTGCGTCGGAGCGCGTCAGGGGGGGGAGCTCCAGCGCCGACCCAAGAAATCCGCGGGGACCCCCGACACATTTATGCTTATGTGGTTTCTTTTGTTCTTCGAGAGTTGGCTACATTCAGAGTGGGCCTGGGCAGCAGTGACCACCTCTGGTGCACAACTGTCCAAGGCCCCTGGGGCGGGGGGGAATCAAAGCGCACAAGCCAATGCGGGGGGGGGAACCCTCCGCACCAAGGGTCACTCCAGCGCAGGGGCACCCGGTTCTCGGGTCATGACTCGGGTCTTTGTCGCGCGTTCGGGACAATCCAGGCTCCCCCGGAACGCTCTAGGCGAGGCGCAGCTGCTGAAGGCGCCCCGCGGCAGGAAAACATCCAGGAACGTCGCCAACGAAAACGTCCGAAACCTCTGGCGAAAGAGTCACTCTGGAGTGCATTCAGCCCAGAGGGGACGAGAAGGGAGGCGGATGAGGAGTCGGCGGATTCCCTCCCTCCTCGCCTGAATTGCATATTGCACCACATCCATGTTCACATAGCTAACTATCTTGTACGATCTGCATACTGTCTGGCGCGGTGGGGGCAAGTGGGCGGGCGGGTGGGATACTCTGCAAATCTGCACACGCGGCGTGCGTACGACTTCAGCGGGTGGCTGCGCGGTCCCTCTCTTCTTGCATCAGCGTGCCAGTGTGGAGACATCATTCCGCTCTATCCGAGGAACACGAGGAGGACCCACCGGGAGAGAGAATGACGCGCGCTCGCCTCCCACGCGCGCTCGGGCCCGCCTCGGGCTAGGGCTCGGTGGTGCGGGCGCCGCCAGGTCCTGCGAGGAGGGGCGATGAAATGGGAGGGGCCTCGAACCATTCTCTCCTCCCTGGGGGGAGCGAGCAGGAGGAGACGAGGAGGACGCGGAGGATGAGGACGGGGAGGAGGAGGGGGGAAAAAGGATGGGGAGGCAGACGGATCAAGAATCGCACAATTCTGAGCCACGCAGACCTCCTCCTCCTCCTCCTCCTTCGCCTCATCCCGACTCCATGCCTCACACTCTCTCCTCCTCCTCCTCCTCGTCCTCATCCTTCCTCCATCCTCCCTTCTCCACCGTCAGCCAGAATGGGCAGTTGGGGCCGTGGTGGTTTTCAACCGCCGGGCAGGGCGGCACAGAAATACTGCTTTAGTTGGTTTTTGAGCTACCAGCTCCATGCTTGCGGCCCCCCAAGGGGTGGACCCCAGGCGGCGCTGTGGGCTACGACGCTTCCTCCTGCCGAGTCGATCTGGTCTCCTCCCTCCCTGCCTCCTCTGTCGAGCCCCGCACCACCGTGCCTTTGTCCCTGGTCCACATGCTACCCATGGCGTTGCGGCTCGAAGGTGTGCAGCTGCGGGAAGGAAGCAGCCGCATCACTGAATATAGCTTGCCACCACGCGAGCTTCCATTCGTGTCTCCACTCCTCGTCCTCCCCCTCTTCAAAAAAGCGCAGGGAATATATGAAAACCAATCCATCAGAAGAAACCTCCAGGTGGCGCAGATCATGCTTAGTTTTGTGAACACGGCGTAATTACACAACAAATATATTGATCTGCACGGGGATCCCGTCAATTCGTTCGGCATGCTACCCTACTCTCCGTGGTGTCACCTCGCGCACACTTTCGGCATGATTCCTGCTTACGATGTTGTTGACGGGACCCCCCAAAACCATCGCACGGCGACCTGTGCAGAACTGACAAAGCATGAACACCCGGCAACCATCTCAAGCCTGAGACTCCATACTGGACAATATGCGTTCAGCGCTGAAGACTGCCTGACAAACCAAATAAAAATACCGCTAAATAAGCTACCACACGCCTTTCAGAACCAATCACGGGAAGAGAAGTCAAGACCACCGGCCTAAAGTATGGGGGGCCCGCAGCGGGAGAGGGAGGAAGGGTACAGGCAATGGACAACATGAAGACCTCAGTAACTATATACGACAGACGAGACCAGTGCTGCAGAACCAGCTGTGGTACACTGGATTCGAGACAGAGCAGATTGTCGGCAGTGTGTAGCGCATCTCGACAATTGGCGCACACATCGGCAGCAACCATCTCTGGTTCAGTCCTTGTCCTCCTTTGGCCTCTCCGCGTGCACCGCCAGATCGTCCGCGTCCTTCTCTTTCGGACATCACGTCTCCCTCGAGTCGTGGCCCGCCGAACCCAGCAGGCGTGGGTCTGCCCAAGCTATGAGCGCCATACATCCCACCACTTGGCGCGCCGCGTACTCACTGGCCTATTCGAGGGCAGCCCACCTGATCGGATTATCGCATTCGCGCCTCGTGACGGCGGCAAAGGCCGAGTGCGTAACAATGGCCAATAGCGTCAAATCAACTTACTTAGCATGCCACATGGCAACAGGAAAACGCGATGCGGGACCACATTTGCGCCAAACGGGTTGGGGACAGAGGAATGATGAGGTAGGGGAGGGATGGGGTAAAGCAGGGAGGACAGGCGAACCGCGATTGCCTCGCGCCCTCAAATCTGGCGTCTGTTAATGGACTCGTGGCCATCCCTGAAAGAACACGCCGTAGAGCCATGACTACAGATATGTGGTCAGCGGTCCGACTGAGGCGTGAGATCCACACTTCAAGATCATTGCCAAGACGGAGTAAACACGACGCGCAGACGGGAGGATGAGCCGGACCAGATGCAGACGGGATGGAAACTCGCCAACGCAGGGGTGCGACGAGAGCGATGAAAGCAGAGGGAGGGACAGACACATACCGCCGACATTGTGATTGTTACATGACGTAGGACCCCAAACTCTCGACCGCGTCCCCACGTCCGGATTTCCTGGCTCGGACAATTGTTTGGTGTCCCTGCGGGCTTCGACAACGGTCCTTGGTGCTGAAATTTGCGACGCCCGAAAGACGGGGCCTCTCCTGGAGCGCATCCTGACCAGGAATTCGAAGCGGATCCAGCCTCCTCATTCCTCCCTGTCCCTCCTGCAGGATGCGAAAGGGGAGGAGGAGGAGGAGGAGGCAACGCGACACAGTGAGGAAAGAACCGAATGAGCACCCAGATGGCTTCGCACTCCGTGTGCATCGAGGTGTAAACGCCGCTGAAGCGCCCGATTGAGCTGTGCTCGAGGAACCGCTGCCCAGTGCGATCGCGAAGGACGTTCACGATTCCATGGAAAAGTATGCAGCCGATCGCGACGGGGATCGACCACCAGGATTTGGTGATCGTGGCTCGCCAACGACGCCTGGAAGTCGTACGCACGTGCGGGAACCGTGGAGAGCGGACTGCTACGGAATGCCACGGGTGAGCCCTGCCGGGCTCAGCCTGGCAACTTCGGGAGCGGCCAAGAAGGGGGTGTCCAAGAGGGGGGGTGCAAATCATGACCGGCGGCATGTGCGCGGCCCAGCGGGGGGGGCCAGGGACGTAATGAAATAATAAGAGGCGCCATAAAATCTGGGGAAATATCATGGCCCCCGTCATGATATCCACCCCCCCTAGTCATCACCCCCCCCTTTGCCGCCCCCGAGTGAGCCCTGCCGGGCTCAGCCTGGGGGCAACTGGTGAACGCCGTCCTTACGGCCGTAAAGATTGGTGGGGCCCCAGGCGGGCCCGCTCCGTGGACAGGACAGTGGTATCGGAGTGGAGCGCGGATAGAATCGACATAAGTGGCCAGCCCGGCTGCGCCTTCTCCCCCGCGGGGCTCTTTGCGAGCCCCGTTGGCGGGGGCTGCGCCTGGACATAATTCGGTGAACAGATCTTGGAGCGTGATGCGGGCTGCGGCAGCGTCTGTTTCGTTGATGGTGACGCGGACCACGCGACGAGGGATGGGTCCAGCGTGACTTGTGCGGTGTTCTCGCAGCGCCCGACCTGGGAAGTCGAACTAACTAGTGGATCGCGCCGTCCACATGCGCAGCCTAGGCCTTGGCGGCCGCAGCGTTCAAAGAACGGGGACGGCATCTCGGTTCCTGAGAACAGCTGATTCTCGGGAGGCAGCACCGCAGGGGCCCATGGTTGGTTTTGCATGCGGAGTTGGGTGAGGAACCTCTCGCCCTCCTCGTGGCCGTGGAGAGAGGTGTTTCTGATTGGTGCGTTTCCGCTGGAGGTCTGAAATAGGTTTTCCACGACTGGGACTGACCAGCTTGCTCAGTCCAGGCCCATCATTGGAGGGTCTGTGTTTTTGGTGCGGCGGCGAAGCAGTGTCCAACTGATTTCGTGTTGGCCGCACAGGCGTTGGAGGGCCTTGCGGAGCTCGGTGGGCTGATGGGCGTGCGAGGGGCGGGGGGGTAGACGGGGTCAACCTCAAGAAACGGCGACCGACAGGAGCCGATCGTATGCCGGAGCGGCACGATCAGATCCCGCGTCTTTGAGCGCGTCGACACTGGCCCCTCTCTGGACAACCTGGGACTCGTCGGGTGGTCGGCGTGGAGTGCGTTCCTTCTTGCGTGCAGCTGGGGCTGCCCGCTGGGCGCGGCGGCCTGCCAGTGCGGCGCGGCCGCGGGGCAGGAGACTGGGAAGAGCGAGGTACCCCGTCGGTGGGCCGCAGATCGAAAAGGCCGCCCGGCCTGGCCAGGCTAGTGAGCGGGGGGCCAGGCACCGTGGCTCGCAGGGACGCGAGGATCCCTCGAGACGAGGTTTGAGCCAAAGCTGGAGCAGAGGCTCGAGAGAGAGAGCGCAACAAACAAACAAACAAACAAACAAACAAACACAACAAACCATATATACATATATATATATGTACACACACATGTATACACACACGGGCACACACACGCACACGCACACACGCACACACGCACACGCACACACATGCGCACACGCACACACACACACACAAACTCACACACACACGCACACGCGCACAAACAGACACACGCGCACGCACACGCAAACACACACACACACACACACACACACACACACACACACACACACACACACACACACACACACACACACACACACGCGCGCACGCGCACACGCACACGCACACGCACACACGCACACGGTGGCGCCGCGAGAAAGATATATATATATATATATATATATAGGCAACGCGAGGCGCGGAGAGCAGCAGCGCTGGGCAGGGCACGGAACCAGCCGGGCGGCGGCGGCCACGAGCCCCGCCCGCGCGCGCGCGGGCCTCTTCCTGCGCGAAGTCCGCCACCTGCGCCGGTGCGCTGGCCCCTCCGCCGGACGGAGGCCGTGGGCTCGCAGCCTTCTCTGCTTCCCCGGAACATCGAATCGGGAAAAGGTTGTTCCCAACAGTCCAGTGGTGGTGGGTCGTCGTTTTGAAGAGACAGCGCCCCGCGCCTCACTCAATCCTCCTTCCTCCGTCCACCTCGTCCCTTCTCCCATCCTTCCCCCCGTCCATGCCTCTGCCCTCCGCATGCCGATTTTGGCGCACCGCTCACACGTTTCGCTGCCACATAGGAGCTTCACCGAAGGCCCCGATGGCAAAGCCAAGTTCGCATGGCGCCGCCCCGCCCAATTCGGCACAATCCTGACCCGTTTCGCGGCCCGCAGCCCCATAGGGAGCTCCACCGAAGGCACAAATGTCAAGGCTCGCATGGCGCCCCGCCATTTCGGCACACTCCTCACAAGGTTCGTGGCCCAATCGGAAGCTCCCCCTCATGCGTCCCACCTGCATTGCGGTACTCACGCTTACATACTCGGATTGTGATTGGGTCCTGCGCCGAGATGCTTTTTCATTATTTCTGGTGACGGACGTAACGGTTACGCTTGTGCGGGGTGGGGCTCGTCGGGGCAGGGGTGCGCTGGGATCGCCATAGTGTGTGCGCGAGATCCAGTATGTGGGGGGTAGGGTCAAAGCCCCCCCCACGGATCGTTACCCGTTACCAGCACCTGGCTGGGGAGAGGAACTTAGCTCGAGTAACAGCCGTTACACGCCAGAGGATAGCACGCAATATCGAAATCGTATGGGAACGTGCATCGGATCGGACCGCATCGGTACGGAATCAACATCGAGCCGAATAAGGCCGCGCCAGGATACACAACCACGCTGTAGTTACAAGCGTCGATCAGCATCGGATCGTAAGAACATCGAGGTCGAATCGAGATCCAGATAAGCATCGGATCGGCGATCGAATCGAAACTTGCCCTGCTGCGGTTTGCACTGCGGTTGCTCGTGACCTTCTCGCCTGCCTCACTCCTTGGCCCACATTGCCTCCTCCATGCTGCCCCTGTCCCCCATCCCTCTCATGCCTCTCCTCCATGCTGCCCACCGCTGCTTCGTCCTCCTGCTCCTCCTGCGTGCTGCATGCACACCCTCCTGCGGACGCTGCCGCTGCTCCCGCACCTCCCCGTTGCTGGGCTTGCGCCCTGGGCACTGACCGACAGACAGGCCGAGGCGCCGCGATCCCAGACATCTGGCTGCTCCATTGTTTTCGACGCGTGGGCCCCAGAAATCCAGACCACCTTCCCAGGGCCAATTTTGCGTCCCGGGTTTTGACGCTCCCGAGGTCTGGCGAGGCCCCCCTGAAGGCCGAAAGCGGCAAACAATGATCCCAGTGCGACCCTACCTAGGAGTTGGAGCCCCCAGGAAAGCAGCATTAGTAGTAACAGTAAAGCTAAGCTAAAGCTAAGCTAAAGCTAAGCTACAGCTGAGCTAAAGCTAAGCTAAAGCTAAGCTAAAGCTAAGCTAAAGCTGAGCTAAAGCTAAGCTACAGCTAAGCTGAAGCTAAGCTACAGCTAAGCTAAAGCTAAGCTACAGCTAAGCTACAGTTAAGCTAAAGCTAAGCTAAAACGAAGCTAATTCTAAGCTACAGCTAAGGTAAAGCTAAGCTAACGCTAAGCTAAATCTAAGCTAAAACTAAGGTAAAGCTAGGCTAAAGCTAAGATTTAGCTAAGCTTTAGCTGAGCTTCAGCTAAACTGAAGCTAAGCTAAAGCTAAGCTAACGATAAGCTAAAGCTAAGCTAAAGCTAAGCTAAAGCTAGGCTGAAGCTGAGCTGAAGCTAAGCTAAAGCTAGGCTGAAGCTAAGCTAAAGCTGAGCTAAAGCTAAGCTAAAACTAGGCTGAAGCTAAGCTAAAGCTGAGCTAACGCTAAGCTAAAGCTAAGCTAAAGCTAAACTAAATATAAGCTAAACTTAAGCTAACTCTAAGCTACAGTTAAGCCGAAGCTAAGCTAAATCTAAGTTATAGTTAAGCTAAAGCTAAGCTGCATCTGAGCTAAGGCTAAGGTACAGCTAAGCTAAAGCTGAGCTAAAGCTAAGCTAAAGCTACGCTAAAGCTAAACTAAAGCTAAGTTAAAGCCCAGCTAAAGCTAAGCTAAAGCTAACCTAAAGCTAAAGCTAAAGCTAAAGCTAAGCTAAAGCTAAAGCTCCCAGGGGACTGGGGGAACCGCGGGGCGGGGACCGGGGGAACCGCCCGGGGCGCTTTCCACTGCCCGGCCCCTTTAAGCTAAGAGAGTAAGAACCCTCTAGGCAGAGCCTAGGTAGGGAAAAAGCCGTTCAAACTTTTCTAGAGCGTCGGATCTCTGGGTCTGGCTCCTGGTCTCACTGGCACCGCCGGCTGACTCAGCTCTCGGGCCGACGCACCGCCCGCGAGAGCCCCGCTCTGGTCCGCGTCCTGCGCTGGCCCCTGCTCCTCCCCCAGCCCCCCTCGTCCTGCCGCGCACCCCACTCACTGACGTAACGGGGGTGGGGATCAGTACAAGGGCGGGCTGCTCGAGGGCTGCACAGGAACAAGGGGCCTCCAAGGGGCCCCCTGGGGGCCCAACGGGCCCCCAGAGGCGCCACCCTTTCTTCCACCCCCCTGCCCTCAAAGGTGGCCCCCTCTCTTCCCCCTTTCTTGCCCCACCCCTCCCTTTCTTGACCCCTCCCCTCACCGACCGCACGACGCTCCTCCCGTGCCCCCGCACCCTGGTCCTGGACAGGGGAGGCCCCCGCGGCTGAGAGGGCGCCGGCGCCTCGAAGGCGGCGGCGGGGAGCAGGCCGCACCTCGCCGGCCTCGGGGGGTGCCAGGAGGGGCGGGGAGCGGCGTGGCGGGCGGTCGCTGAGGCTGCCCCGCACCGTCGGAAGGGGGTCCGGTCAGTCAGTGGGCCGCACACGATGGGGCAGAAGAGCGTGCAACAAGTTGCGGTGGTGCGCCCAAGGCGGAGGGTGGTTCTTAACCGTACGCGCGGTACCAGACAAATGTACCAGACTAATGTGCCAGACATATGTACCAGACATATGTACCAGACTAAGGTACCAGGCACATGTACCAAACTAATGGACCAGACTAATGTACAAGACTAATGTTCCAGACTAGCAGCACCAAATTAGCGGTACCAAACTAGCAGCACCAGACTGGCGGTACCAGCCTGGCGGTACCAGACAAACGTACCAGACGCGCCACTAGTCTGGTGCGTGAGTCTGGTACGTTAGTCTGGTGCGTTGTTCTGGTACATTAGTCTGGAATTTTGGTCTGGTACATTAGTCTCATACATTCGTCTGGTACATGTGTCTGATACCTTAGTCTGGTACGTGAGTCTGGTACGTTAGTCTGGTACATTCGTCTGGTACATCAGTCTGGTACATTAGTCTGGTACCGTTTTTCTGGTACGTTTGTCCCAGACTAACGTACCAGACGAATGTACCAGGCAAACGTACCAAACTAATGTACCAGACTCATGTACCAGACTAATGTACCAAACAAATGTACCAGACTAGCGGCAGCAGACTAGCGGTACCAGACTAGCAGCACCAGACTGGCGGTACCAGGCTGGCGGTGCCAGACTGATATACAAGACTACTGGTACCAGACTAACGTACCAAACTAATGCACCAGACCAGCGGTACCAGACTAGCGGTACCAGACTAGCGGTACCAGGCTAGCGGTACCAGGCTAATGTACCAGACTAATGTACCAGACTAATGTACCAGGCTAGCGGTACCAGATTAGCGGTACCAGACTATTAGCGGTACCAGACTACCGGTACCAGACTAATGGACCAAACTGACATACCGGACTAGCAGTACCAGACTAGCGGTACCAGACTGGCAATACCAGACGAGCGGTACCAGACGAACGTACCAGACTACGGTGCCACACTAGCGGTACCAGACTAGCGGTACCAGACTGATGTACCAGACTAGCGGTACCAGACTAGCGGTACCAGACTAATGTACCAGACGAATGTACCAGACCAACGTACCACACTAGCGGTACCAGACTATCGGTACCTGCCTTCTGTACAAGCGGTACCAGACTACCGGTACCAGACTATCGGTACCAGACTAGTGTACCAAACTGGCGGTACCAGACTAATGTACCAGACTAGCGTACCAGACTAACGTACTAGACGAGAGGTGCCAGACTAACGTACCAGACTAGTTTGGTGCCGCTAGTCTGGTACTTCAACCTGTTACATTAGTCTGGTACGTTACCCTGGTACATTATAATCTGGTACATCAGTCTGGTGCATTCGTCCGGTACCGCTAGTCTGGTACGCTAGTCGCGGACGAGCGTATCAAACCGATGCACCAGACAAATTACCCCAGTGCGACCCTACCTAGAAGTTGGAGCCCCTAGGAAAGCAGCATTAGTTGCTATTATATGCTATGCCATGTTATGCTAAGCTATGACATGCTATGATATGCTATGCTATGCTACGCTATGCTATTATATGTTATTCTAAGATATGCTATGCCATGCTGTGCTATGTTATGCTATGATATGCTATGCTAAGCTGCGATATGCTATGCTATGCTATGCTGCGCTATGCTCTGCTATGATATGATATGCTTGGCTATGGTATGCTATGCTACGTTATGCTAATGCAGCGCTGCGCTATGCTAAGCTAAGCTAACCCTCTAGGCAGATAAGCTAGATATAGAGAAGGTAAGCTAAGCTCATACAAACCTGAGCTAAGATGAAGCTAAGCTAAGGTAATATTGAATGAGCTAAGCTAAGATGAGATGAGCAACGCTAAGCTAAGGGAACGTGACTGGGGGAACCGCGGGGCGGATCCTGGAGGAACCGCCCGGGCGGGGAGCACTGCCCGGCCCTTTAAGCATACAGGGTAAGAACCCTTCTAGGCAGAGCCTAGGTAGGGAATGTACGAGACTGAAGTTTCAGAATAATGTACTAGATTAATGTAACCTGACTAGAGTACCAGACTAGCGGCACCAGACGAGCGGTACTAGACTAGCAGCACCATACTGGCGGTAACAAACTGGCGGCGCCCGACTACTATACCAAAATAGCGGTACCAAACTAATGTACCAGACTAATGTACTAGATTAGCGGTACCAGATCAATTTACCAGACAAATGTACCAAACTAATGTGCCAGACTAGCGGCGCTGGACTAAAGGTACCAGACTAGCGCTACCAGACTAGCAGTACCAGACTCACGTACCAGACTTGCGGTACCAGAGTTAGAGTTACGTACCAGACTAGCGGTACCAGACTAGTGGTGCCAGGCTAGCGGTACTAGACGAACGTACAAGACCAACGGTACCAAACTAGCGGTACCAGACTAGCGGTACCAGGCTAACGTACCAGATTCACGTACCAGACTAACGGTGCCGGACTGGCGGTGCCAGACTAACGATACCAGACTAACGATACCAGACTAGAAGTACCAGATTAGCGGTACCAGATTAATGTACCAGACGAAATGTACCAGACCAACGTACCAGACTAGGGGTACCAGACTACACGTAACTGAGTCCTGTACCAGACTAAAATACCAGACTGGGTGTACCAGACTAGCGGTACCACACTAACGATACCAGAATAATGTACCAAACTAGCGGTAGCTGATTAACGGTACCAGATCAATGTACCAGGCGAATGTTCCAGACCAACGTACCAGACTACAGGTACCGGACTCCTGCACCCGACTAATGTACCAGACTAGCGGTACCAGACGAGCGGTACCAGACGAACGTACCAGACGAGCGGTGCCAGATTAACGTACCGGACTAGCGGTACCAAACACATGTACCAGACTAATTTACATTAGTCTGGTACAGTCTGGAAATTAGCCTGGTGCGTTGGTCTGGAACATTACTCTGGTACATTAGTCCGGTATTACGCTTACGGTTGAAAACCCACCGTTTACGGTGAAAGCCTCCCGTTCCCAAGGCGCCCCTTGTTGAGCCGGGGGGGGTATTTGTGTCCCTGCTATCGGCCTCTGGGGGCCCTCGCCGAACCCTCGGACCGTGGGAAAAAAATCCTGATGACAGGCCGGCCCTGGGGAACCGGTCAGGGAATGCGGGGGGGAGGGGCGCATAATCATCGCGCCACCATCGGTGCGAGAAAGGGGTTGAACAGAATCCACCGCCCAGGGAAGCGATTTCCTTGGAGGGCGTGGCGGGGGGAACTTCGCTCGCTGAGCGCTGCACGAATCCGATTGCCCCTCGACTCGCGCTGGAATTTCTGCGAATTCTCCACACGAATCTGGCCATGTTTCGAACTGCCTCCGTTTAACCGAATCGTTTTACCAACCCATCACACGTCGGTTGAAGAGAAGTCGCCGAAACCTCTGGACTACAGTCGGGCCGCTGAATGAAAGAACGCTAAATAAGGAACGAAGCCCCTTCTTGGCCCTGTGAGCGCCTCCATGCCCCAGGAGGGCAGGAGGAACAGCGCCAGAGGAAGTTAAGGAAGATCGAGCCCCTTCCGAACCCAAGCGGTTCCTTCTTTCGGCGTCTTGACTGTAGCATGAAGCAAGCGGGTCCTGGAGGGACAAGGTCGTGGGATTCTGCACCCCCCTGTGGGCCTCTGGAGCTCTCCGCGGGCCCAGGCATCGCAAGGAGATGGCTCGGGGCGGGGAGCCGATCTTGGGGAGAGCCCACCCCCAGTCTGGGACCTGTTTAGGGATACGAACTCTATACACTGACGTTTTTGTTCCGACCGTGCTGAAAGTCGCACAGGAACGCGGATCCAGGTGCATACGGAGTCCTGGTGTATAATTACATGTTTCGTTGTTCCCCTTGGAAAGCGAAACAAAAAAAAAACACCACACCTCCCCGACGTCGTCCCCGACGCTCAAAAAGTCGTGGGATGGAAAAAACAACCCGCCACTGGTAATGTATGTGTTCCAGTTTCTGACTGTTCCCCTCAGGACCTTTCTCCTTCATGGCGAGGAAGCGCAGACCCGGTGCCCCAGGGCGTCGCGGGCAACAGAGAACAGCCGGCGTCTCCCGTCGATCTCTGGCCTCCGGCGGACGCCCTCGGGCGAGGGAGGAGCGGTATCGGTATCGGTATCGGTAAGAGTCGACTCGCTGCCGGTGCTTGAGGACCCCAAACGGGTCACTGAGAAGACTGATGGGCGAACAGGTCCCACCCTCTGTTCGGTCCCCCAGCAGAGGGAGGAGCGAAGCAGGGAGGAGAGGTCCAAGGCGGGGGCGGGGGGGGAATGGAGGAGGGATGAGGACGGGGACGAAGAGGGCCCTGGAGTCCTGCAGGCTGGGCCCCTGGCGACCGCCCTGAGCTTCCAGGCGCAGCGACTGGCAAATTCAACGGGCCGGGCCAAAAGGAATAAAAGGAATGGCTGTGGGAAAAAGCCATGTTACCTATGGCGCGCTATGATTTGGGAATCATGGCGATGCACGCCCCATGGTCCGTGGAACCTATTGGAAGCAATTCTGAACATGACGACGGTGTGCAGGGAAGGGAAGCAAGACCACGACGACGACGACGACGACGACGACGAAGGAACGTAAGGAACATAAGACGGCAACACACAAGGACGGGGGAATCCGCCGACCCTGTCGGCGTCTGGAATGGGTTGTTCGTCGTGATTGTTGTCCTCGTGCGTACTCGTCGTCTTTTTTCTGGGTCCGTCGCCGCTCCCCCTCGTTGCCTGGGCACTCGCTCTCAAGCGCGCCAGCCAAAGCGAAATGAAGCAACCCAGCCAAAGCGAAATTAACAACGTTGTCATTGAGTCGAAGGGAAGCCCCTTCCCGTTGATCCCTTCCCCGCTTGGGGGGGGAGGGTCCCAAGGGGGGTCCCGGGGGGGGGTCCCGGGTCAAAATACTATCCTCCGTTTGCGGTTTTTACAGAGGGGCCCTTTGGAAATGCGCTGGAGGAGGGGGGGTCGCCACGACGGATCCGCAAGAGCGCCCCCAGACGGCCCAAGCCCCATAAGACAGCCCAACAACACCCAAGGACGGCCAAAAGGGGCCTTCAGACGGGTCAAAAGAGCCTCAAAAGGACTCTCAAGAAGGCCCGGAGAGGCCATATTCATTGATTTTCGGAAAGGTTTTGCCCCCGCCCTCTCCCTCCCATTTCCGTCGAGGGCCGAGGCCTCCAGAACTGGTTGCTCCTACTCGCTTCCTCTCGCTGTTCCCCCACTCCTCCTCCTCCTCCTCCTCCTCCTCCTCCTCCTCCTCCTCCTCCTCCTCCTCCTCCTCCTCCTCCTCCCGGCTCGAGGTTGGTCGGCGCGACCGGGGTCCCCCGGGCGGCGCGCGGCAGGCGCGCGCTGGGGTGCCATGGGGATCCGACACCGCCAGGCCTCTGTCGGGATGCACGGCTTCAAGCGCCTCTGGAGCGGCCGACAGTACTTCGCGAAGTACTACGCCGCTTGGTCGTCGGACGGCAAGCAGTGGCAGCATGGGGCTGTGCGGCGCAGGACGAGCCAAACGCCATCAGCTACAGCGCAAGGATAAAGGCCTTGAGGCAGCTCAGTCGCAGTTCGCCGTCGCCAGCACCGATTCTCCGTGGAGGTTGGACGCAGCCCACACATCTCTAACCAAGTTCGAGAAAGGGGGAAGCGAAGCTGGAGCCCAAAGATGAAGGTCGAGCCCAATGCCATCACCTACAGCGTGGCGATCAGGGCATTTTGGGGGCGAAGTCGCAGCCCGACGTCGCCAGGCAAGTTTTTCAGTCGAAGGTCGACGCATCCCGTATGTCGCACTGCGTGAGCGAGACGAGGGAGGCGAAGCTGGAGCCCGAGTTCTACAACTACTGCCTTAGGAGCAGCGAGTGCGAGAATGAAGGGCAGCGGCGGCTGGTTTCGCCACACTCCGCGAGATCCCAAGAGGACACGAACGCTGAAGGACGAGCCCAATGCCATCACCTACTTCGATGGGATCAAGGCATTGTGGAGGCGAAGTCGCAGCCTGACACCGCCTGCACAGACTTCCAGGGTACGTTATACGCATGCGATAAGTGGGAGGCAAAGCTGGGGCCTGAGATCTACGGTTACAGCCTAGTGAGCAGCGCGTGCGACAATGCAGCCCAAGAGGAAGGGTACGCAGAAGGACGAGCCCAATGCCATCATCAACATTGTTGGGAATCTGGGCATGTGGGAGGCGAAGTCGCAGCCCGACGTCGCCTGCAAGGATTTCTAGGGGATGTTAGACGCATGCGAGAAGTGGGAGGCGAAGCTGGAGCCCAGCACTATAGCTACAGCCCTGGCAGCAGCGCGTGCGAGAATGCAGGGCAGTGACGGCCGTTGTCGCCACACTCCGTGCGAGCCCTAAAGGAAGGGTACGCAGAAGGACGAGCCCAATGCCATTACCTACTGTTTTGGAATCTGGGCATTCTGACTGTCTGGTGCACGTGCGTGTGGGTGTGGGCGCTGTGTCTGCACGCGTGTGAGGCAACCCGCTTCAAGGGGAAGGTGCATTCTCCCGTGACAAGGCCCTTCATCGCCCTTTTCAGCGTCGGCAGCGTTCTGCCGTCTCTGCGGCTCTCTGGCGAAGCCTCGGCCGCAGAGGATAAGATCGGTGTCTCAGCGCCACGAGGTTTCGGGTCAGGGTCGGGTCGGTCAACCCGCAGCCCCCTTCATCAGCCAAGTGATGGTCCTCCTCCTCCTCCTCCTAACCCCGCTCGTTTTCATCTTCGTCGTCTTCAGGGTCGACGGCGCCAGCCGTAAGGCCTTCGCAATAATTTGGATGTGCGGAGGACTGCGCTGCGCTGAACCTTCCAGGGGCTCACGAAAGTGCCAACCGTTGAGCCCGTGGCAGCGCCCAAGGAGAATAGCCATTTTAGGTCCCCGCAGGACCGCACTCCGACAGACCTCGCACGAGTCACTGGAAGTGCAAACGGTTGCGCAGTTGGCAGCGCCCCATGGAGGGGAGTGATTGCGTGGGCGCCCGTATGACAGTGCTCTGTTGGACCTCCCATACCTCGCGAAAATACCGACGACTGCGCATTTGGCAGCGCCCAAGGACGAGAGTGGTAATTCAGTTACGCGTAGCATCGCACCCCGCCAACCTCCAGGAGCTCACGAAAGTGCGACAATTTGGCACCGCCCAGGATTGCGCAGTGGGCAGCGCCGAAGGGGGGTGGTATCAATTCGGACTAGCGTAGGCTACGCTGGCCATAGCATTATCCCCCGCTGCGTAGCATCACACTCCGCCACGCTGCACTGCTACACGGAGTGCGGTACTACGCTGCGTAGCAATGCACTCCGCTGGACCTCCCAGGATCTCACAAAAGTGCCGACGTGGTGCGTACTTGGCAGCGTGCAAGGGAGGGTCGTCATGATGCGATGCGCCAAAGACGGCCTCAAGACAGCCCGAAAGACGTCCATGAGGCACCCCGGGAGGGCCCGAAGAGGCCCAACTGATTGATGTTCAACATAGTATCATTGATTTTCACGTTTTCGCCTTCTCGGGTTTCCGACACCCGAAGATGGGGCCTCCAAGATAGCCCGAAGACAACCCAAGACGCCTCCAAGAGAGCCCCAAAACAGCCCAAGATGCACCCCAGACACCCAAGAGACTCCCCCGTCTCCACCCAGGTTAGACCCAAAACTGCCTAGGAAGTCTCCAATGATGGCCCCAAGACGGATTCTAAGACGGCCAAGATGGCCCAAGATGCCCTCAAGATGCTTCTAAGACGTAACATACCTCCAAGATGACCCCTAAGACAGCTTCACTAAAGCGTATCCAGGCAAGTCGGCTCCATTTCTGCCCATCTTGGACGCCGCTGGAAGCCCAAGGCGATAATGTTTCAACAAATTGCACTGGGCCGCGCTCACTCGAGAATGAAAGCGTTGCCCAAACAGACATGATTCGCGATTCTCATCGAGTGGATCGCGTGGGGTGGTCCCTTTGAGCTCCCTGTATTGAATTATGTGCATATTCTTTGATGGCATCAGATCCCGGAATTCCGGAGTTGTTGGGCGCTCCCGGGCGTTTCTGGTCGCTCCTGGGGCTTGCCGCATGACCTCTCTGGAGGCATCAGGAGCGCGGTTGGGAGATCATAACTTCCAAGTGTCCTCAAATAGCCCCACGGGACTGTCCAGGGCCTCTTGGGCCGTCTTGGAGGCCCTAAAGACCTGCCCAAGAAGCAAAGGCCGTTGGAGAAGCAATACGTGTTGTCTTGTGTCCGCAAGCTTGGCATCTCGCCCAACAACGATGCTACCGAACGAGACCCCGAAAGGGCCCCCATGACATCCGAAAGAGGCCTCCAAGAGCCCCCAAGAGGCGCCTTGTTCACGGCCGAGGCGCGGTGGCCGGATGAACCGAAGGCCACTAGGTATCACGTGGCAACCCCTCGGAGGTCCCTCTGGGCACTGGTAAGAGCTCCGTAGCTGGACAAGCTGAGCCGGTTTCTGGAGCTGCTCATGGGCCGGAAGAGTCCATATTGAGCCAGATGCGGCCAAACCAGGCTGGATGAACACCACGTACACTTGCGGTCGCTCGGACGTCCATTCCCCGTGCGTTTGTCGGTTTTGTGCGCTTGTTTTGCTCGATGGTCCCGGATGGTCCTCAAGGGTCCTCACCGATAAAAAAAACACATGTCCGAGCGATGCCAGGATACAAGGTTCGATGACGAATTCCGCCTCCTCAGCCCCTGCTCCCTCCCACCCAGAGCGCCTCTCCCTGTCGGCGTTCGAGGAGGAGTCGCTGCTGGGGCTGTTCACTCGCGGCGCGTGGGAGGTCTCGCTGACCTGAACGAGTTGGGGGCGGGGGAAGCCTCCTCTTCCTCCTCCTCCTCCTCCTTCTCCAAATCCAGCTCCTCCCACGCACTTTCTCCTTCCTCCTCCTCCTCCTCCTCCTCCTCGTCTCCCACCCCTCCCTACTCATACTTATCCTCCTCCTCCTCCTCCTCCTCCTCCTCCTCCTCCTCCCCCTTCCTCATATTCATCCTGGTTTGCCTGGTTCTGCTGTTCATGCCGCGACCGCTGCCACTGGCGATGCCACGACATCAACCGACATTCGTGCGAATTCGTGCGGGTTGTCGCGCCCCTGGACTGTACCAGGGCGTTCGTGTTTCGACGATTAATAGTTTACTGCTGGCTCTCCAGTTTGGCACCAGGAGGCCAAGCATGATCATGCACCTGGCGCGACACCAATCAGGGGAAAACTTCCGGAGTGAGTAACCAAGCAAGGAAGGCATTGCTTGGCAGTGCTGTGCATTGCTCGGCACTGCTTAGCATTGCTTGGCTGTGCTTGGCATTGCTCGGCATTCCTTGGCATTGCTCAACAATGCTTCGCATTGCAGAGACTGGGGAACCCAAGGAGGAAGACCAGAGAGCGTGACGAACAAGACCAGGGAACACAGGAGGACAAGCAACCAGACTGGGGAGCCGAGCAAGGACGGGGGAACCCAAGGAGCGAGACCGACAAAACTGAGAAAGGCAACAAAGAAACCAGGACCAGGGAACTGGGGAAGGCCAGGGCCCGCCTCTGAATTGGGGGGGGCACCTACCAGTTCTTCACAAAGCAACTAATGACCCAGTCGGCAAAGCGTAATTGGGGCACACGCCACAGCAAATCGTGCCTTCACGATCCGACAACATGATTATGCTGACCCGAACGCGGAAAGACTTATCGACTGCGAAGCCGCACATATCCGCAATTGGCTCACCACCAGCACCGTCCTTCTCCCCGAGCAACACTGTTGTCACTCCAGAAGAATTCGATGGTAAGCGATTCCACACGAAACTGCGCTTACTCGGCTTGCTGACCTCGAACTCCGCCTTGGCCCTCGGCTGTGTCTACGTCGAGCTTCGCACTCGAACGAACGTCGATGCTTTCTGGACAGGGCACGCTCATGTCAGCTCGGGAGCAGGAGTAGGAACAATAATACACTCTCAAGATCAATCAATCTAGACCCAACAAATCGGATCGAATCGACCGCGCCAAGATGCACAACAACGCCATGCAAAGATAGAGGCCTCCAGGTGGGGTTCGAGTAGATGGGGAATGGAGGATCGCGCCGCATCGCCGACGCATCGACGATGCGTCGGTGACGCCGCCGGTACATCGGCGACGCCTTCGTGGAGAAAAGACGCCGAAAACCAACGTTGCGCCGAAAACCCAAGGGGCGCCGAAAAGGAAACGGGTGCCGAAAACCAGAGCGGCGCCGAAACGTACGCCGAAAACCAACGGGGCGCAAAAAAACCAAAAGGGCTCCGAAAACCAAAAGGGCGTCAAAAACAGAAGGGTCGCCGAGAACCACAGGGGCGCCAACAACTACAGGAGCGCCCAAACCCAAAGGTGCGCATATAACCAAGAGGGCGCCGAAAACCAAAGGCGTGCCGAAAATCAAAAAGGACGCCGAAACACAATAGGCCGCCGACAACCGAACGAATCGCCGAAAAACGAAGGAGCGCCGAAAACTAAGAATGGAGGCGGAAACCAAAGGGACGCCGACAACAAAAAGGGCGCCAATAGCTTAAGAGGCGCCTGAAACAAGAGGGACTCCGAATGCCGAAAGGGGGCCGAGAAAGACAGAGGGCGCCGAAAACAAAATGGGGCCGAAAACCAAATGAGCACCGAAAACCGAAGGGGCGCCGCACTCCAAAGGGCAGCAGAAAAAAAAAGGGGCGCCGAAAACCACCGATGTGCCGAACACCAAACCAAAAGAGGAACCGAAAACCAAAAGGGCGCCGCAACTTAAAGGGTGCGCCGAACACTAAAGGGTGCGCCGAAAGCCAAAAAGGCGCCGAAAACCAAAGGGGCGCCGAAAACTGAAGAGGCGCCGAAAACCAGACGGGACTTCAAAAGCCCAAAGTGCGCCCCCAAAAAAGGGCACCGAAAACAGAAAGGGCGCCCAAAGCAAGTGATGCGCCGAACACCAACTGGCACACCGAAAACCAGACCGGCGCCGAAATCCGAAGAGGAACCGAAAACCAAAAGGGCGCCGAAAACAATGAAGGCACCGAAAACTTCAGGGGCGCCGAAAAGCAAAGGGACGCCGGAAACTGAAGGGGCGCCGAAAACCACAAAGGCGCCAAAAAAATCAAAGGGGCGCCGAGAACCAAAGGGGAAAGACAGTTTCGACCCCCACCTTCAACTGGGGCCGTCCAGCTGGAAATGCCAACAGAAGCAGGGGAGGGGGGCAGCTTCTGAAGCGCCCCCCCCCCCCTCCCCCGGGAAGGGGAGCCCAGGCTTACCTAGGGCCCCGAAAAGACGTAGAGGGGGGTGGTAGCTTCCAAGCCCCCCCCCTTTAGCCAGGGAGAACCCTCAACAACAAAAATCCCAACTGAAAGGGAGAGTGGGGGGGAGTAGATCGGACGCCTCCTCGCCACCTTCTGGGAAGGGGAGCCCTGGCTCACCCTGGGTCCCGAAAAGGAAGGGCTTCCAAGGGAGGGAGGGCGGTGGCTTGAAGCTGTGACCCCCCTTTTCTGATTCCCGGCGTTGCGTGCGCGGTCGTTCGGATACAGGGAATGTGGCAAGTGGGACGGGAAGGGACACGCGGCCGTTCGGAGGGAGCGCCCGCCCGCCTGGAAGCCCAGCGCCAGCCCGGCGGAGGGCGGAGGGCTGCGCGACGACGTCGACTTCGTC